GTTAAATTGCGCACATTGGTTTTTCTGTGCCTCCACGTCGCTGTCGAAGCTTTGACTGCAAGAAGCCCTCTTACACGGCCCACGAGAGAGCCCTGCAAAAAAAGAAGGCTGGACCGTAAAAGTCGATGCCAGCAAAAGCCTTGTAAACGTCAGTTCGTCTTTTCCATCAAGTCTCAGACTTTGCTGGCTCCAGTTGAACAGGGCGCGATTTTGTTTGCTTGCCCGCTAAGACCAACATCTTTTTTTTTTTTGGACTGACGCCTCTTTACTACATCAGTAGCGCAGTAGGCCGGTCTTGTTGGGCTCGACATAAAAGGTGAAACGGAGCCAAACTGTACAAGCCAGCGAGCGAAAAAGAAGTCGTGACTACAAAGAAGCAACCGCTAGCGCAGAGGCCCTTATTGCAAGACAACTTATCGCAAGACCAGCGAGGTGAGACCAATGCAAACAAGAACCTACCGGCACCAATCACTCAGCTGCCCGTCACCCAAAGCAATGCTGCGCCACGTCTGGTACAGACATTAAGCGAAAGTATGGGTAGGCCGTAAGGCAAGGAACCTCCGTCACCTAAACTGCTCAACGCGTCCGGAGAGACAGTCCCCACACAAGCGCCAGGGCCGTAGCAATAGCACTCAGGACTCTTTTTCGGGTTGGCAAGGAAGTTGCAAGCACACTGAAAACAGGCACAATGCACACAGAGCGCCGAGCGGGGGCTGGCAAGGGGCTGGTGTGGCTGCACGGGGCTGCCGTCGGCGCTGTGTGAATCCGGGCGTCCTCACATAGCGATTAGGGGAATACCCTATTTGGAGGCTCCTTGTGTTTGCGCCGAAAGTTTTGAGGCTCGACCTCATGGCCATAGGGCGGGCCTGAAGCGCTGCTTGCAAGAGGCCAAATTCTTACAGCCCCGCGCAGCGGCCGATTTTTGAGACGGCACAAGAGCCCCAAAGGCTGCTGGCTGGCACTTGGCGCATGTGCTTCCCAGGTACCGGGAGCCTATCGGCTTGGCATAGCCTGGTGCAGTTTAAGGCCCCGAAGGCTGCTTAACGGTCTGCAGCCAACCGCACGTCAAGTGTGAGAGTCAAGGGGCTTTAAAACTTGGAGCCCCGCGCAGCGGCCGATTTTTTTTTTTTGGAGAGCACTTCAAGCAAGTTTACCCCGTGACTACACCTGATGCGGGACCCACAGCAAAGTGCTAGGCCTATTCACTTCTGGGCCTGCTGGAGAAGGTTGAAGCAGCAGTTCTTCACATCCCTTCTGGGCCTGCTGGCGAAGGCTCCGGCAGCCGTTTGCGGGGCCTCATCACTTCTGGGCCTTCTGGAGAAGTTTTAGGCAGCAGTTTGAGAGGTCTACTCACTGCTGGGCCTTCCGGAGAAGTTTTAGGCAGCCGTTTGAAAGGCCTAATCACTGCTGAGCCTTCCAGGGAAGGTTGAGGCAGCAGTTTGAAAAGCCTAATCACTTCTGGGCCTTCAGGCACTGTTGGGACAGCAGTTTGAGAGGCCTAATCATTTCTGGGCCTTCAGAAGATGTTTGAGGCATCAGTTTGAGAGGTCTACCCCACTGCTGGGCCTTTAGGAAAATTTTTAGGCAGCGCCGACCGACTGGATTCACCCTTTGGAGTTTACAAAGTTATTAAAGGACAGGTGCAGGAAACCCGCCACCCAATCACCGCACGCCAATGTCAGTATTATACTACCGGTCGTCCCCTAAAGGGTGAAGGACGCAAGAGATGTTTTTCTGCTTCTGGCAAGGACCTCTGTCAACCGGAGCGCCGAAGCCTGCCATACGAATCAATGTCGCTGACCGTCTAAGAAGCACTTCGCGCCTTCAGGCAGTGCACCTCAGTGTGATCGAGCAAGTCTCTTGCTTTGGCCAATTGATGTTGCTCTGGAGGACCTTGCGAGACAGTATGGGAGCACATGCGAGGAGAGACCATGGCAGTTGTCAAACCACGCCAGGCATTTGTGCGTTGCCTCTACGCAGGAGATGTTTCATGACTTACCATGCATTTAGGTACTTGCTGCCAGTGCTGTTACCCTCTCGTTTTCTTGTCTCAAGATTTTCCGAGAACCTGTGAAACCCATGCCATGGCATTACATGCTGCAGCTCTCGATCACATGCGTGAAGATTTGACGGAGTAAGCAGGTTCTGGAGGATTTTGGCATGCTTGACCCCAACAGATTTGGATTCACGGAGAAGCAGTGGCAGGCCAGACTTGCCAGGCTCGTCGATCGCGCCCACCATAGAGCTCAACGATATGGCACACCTGAAGCTCTCGTCAGCCTTGCTTTGCAGGACCTAAAAGGTGAACTCCTCCAGGCCTTCTTACATTTGTATGTTGAAGATCCAAATCCTCCTCATCATCTTCCTTGGTCTGCAGTCACGGCCACAGTGTGGCCTCAGCATGAAACCACAGATGCCGCACCCCCATGGACTGAACAAGTGCGTAGAGCGAATGGTGAGGTCGAATCTTTTGTTCACCAGGAGTTTTCTCTAGATATTTCCAGTCCCGGGTCAAGCGCCACAGGGACGCACGATCCGAATGCGTGCATCAGCGAGAGTGTTACGGAAAACCACAGCCTCTGGCGTCTACAAGCGAATCCAGGTGGCTGCATTGACATTGATTGATGTATTGCAGAACTGAAAACAAGGTGGAGTGTGCTTGCTGCTGCATTGTCGGTAGGACTATCAAGGTGCCGCCCCCTCAGTGTCCAGCGTTGGCATCTCGCAAGGGATATCTGAGGGTTGACCGTAGGTCCAGTCCTTACACTCATGAAGGATGGGAGCATTTGCATGTTGAGAACTGAGTGTGACTAGGGATTGGTTGACAGTGCACCAGAATCTTGTCATCTGTGCAGGAGAACAGCACTGGATTGCTCGGCCCCTGGCTAGAGTTTGTGCAATAGACTCATGATGTCGACAAAGGTCGACCATCTAGGGAAGGCCTCTTACAGAGAGAGAACCACATCAATAGGGCAGAGGCCCCAGTCCAAAGGGACTTAGCGAGCCACTGACGAATGAGAAGGAAAAGTAAACGACAACAGACTCTGACAGTCAAAGTCTTGTTGCATTGACCTGTGCTCAGCTCAGCATGTTTCAGTCGTATTTCCCTCGGCTCGAGCGTTCCACAGGGAACCAACAGGATCGACAAGGGTCGGATCTCAGGGCAAAGGCCCTTAAAAAGAGAGTGGCACATCAAGAGGGCGAAGGCCCCAGTCCGAAAGGACTCAAGAATCATGTGGCCTATATGATGCCATTTGGGTACGGACCCAATGTGCCAGCCCCCAGTCAACCAAAAGAAAGCAGAAGGGGGAGGCGACGCAGGAGCAGCAGCTCCAGCGACGAGCCGAGGAGGCGTCGCCTCAAGAAGCCGAAGAGGTCGAAGAGACCATGACAGGGGAAGCCCCTCCCAGGCCTCGTCTTCCGTGGCACAAGGGATGATTCAGGTGGATGTCAATCATTACACCGCCCTGGTGACCCAAGCGGCGCAGGCCCAAGCTGCGGCACAGGCCATGGCAGCGGTCACGGCCCCCCCGCACACTGCGGCACTGCCAGTGTCCTATGGCTCTAAGGGTCAGAGCCAGTGGACGGCCAAGGATTCGTGGCAGTCTGACAAGTGGAAAGGCCAATCCTGGAAGCAGGGTGACTGGCAGCAGAAGAACAGATGGCCACAGAAGAAAGGGGGCGGAGATAAAGAGAAGTGGCCAAAGGGGTGGAACAAATGGGAGCGCGATGAGAAAGCCCCGGGAGAAGGTCAGGCGGCAACGCCTGGGATCCCCCTGCTTTTGGCCTCGACCGACCCCTTGGACCTGCCGGATGCAGAAGAGGCCACGGAGGAGGACCTGTCCCGCCAGGCCCAGCGGGACGTTGAAAGAGAAGACCAAGCCTACGCGGCATATCGAGCGGGCCCACCTCTCGGCGGATCGTCCCCCGAGTGCCAGGGAATTGGTCCAGATGGGGCGGCTCAAAGACTTTTGGAGCATGACCTGGACCCAGGCGCGCGGAGAGATCTCGGCAGACTCAGTGGAAGCCTGCAAAAAGGCCCTGAACGAGGTCGCCATCTCCATGCCCGACCAGACCTTCCACAGGCTTGCAGCAGTGCTTGCAGCCTTCTTGGATGGAGGAAATGCGTGCCATGCGCACCCGCATGCCAGGAGCAGAAGGGATCATCGTGTCTACCATGATCACCGGCCCCAGTTACACCAAGTGTGAAGATCATCGGCATGACCTGGTCATGGCCCACGGCACCGGCTTTGTCCACGCGGTGGGCATCGGGCTTCACGGAGAGGTGTGCCCGAATGACTCAAGCCGGACGACTACCCAAGTTTTGGGTTCAGTGGAAGGGGGTCGCTGGAGGCGCCAGATCCTGCCACCATCGAGGCGGCCTTTCAAAAAACGGCCGCCCATTCCAAAGGCCAACAGGGAGTCATTTTCGTGTACCAGGGCGAGCTGGAGAAGCCCACCCACACAACCGAAGGTGGGGTGGCGGTCATGATGGCGGCCGTCAAAGACGTGGGCTCCGCGCGCAGCGGACAACACATCATCCTCCATCCCAAGCACGCAATTTTGCGTGCCATTGGCTGCACGTGGCCGGCCTAGATGCAGAGCCCCAGATCTTGGGCGCCAACGAGGGGTTTGTTTCCAGCCATGACAAGATCTGGCTGTCTAACAGTTTTGAAGCCAGGTGCGACAGATGTGTGGAAAATAAGAGGTTGGAGTCAGCCTTTGCATGTCACCTCCCCACCCCTCTGACAGTTGCAGATCTCCAGACTCAGTGCAGGTTCAGCTCATGCGGCTTGCATAATTGTGTATTTTGAGTTGGCTTGCAGCATGAGAGCCCTAGATGTCCCGTCGGAAAGTGACTCCGATGAGGCGATTGCGCCGGCCCTACCTGCGCAGGCTACACAAGACGGGGTCAGTGAGCATGTCATAGTTGAACAAGCCACTTTGCCCGTCATCAGACTGCCTTGGGAGTCGGGAGTTTTTCAAGAGATTTTCGCCAGGCCGTCGATCATAAGCGATGACCTGCCCACCCCCACCATGTATGGTCAAGCTGAACTTCAACTAAGGGAGCTCTCGGCGCAACAGTCGGTGAAGCGCCAGTGCCGAGTAGTCACACCTGACAAGGCCATTTTCTTGCAGGCAGTCAGGCGCAAACCTGACAGAGACTTCGACGAGAAGTGTGAATACGTGTGGGGCCGAGCTGTCAAACTCTGGCTGACGCTCATGCTAGCGTCACCCTCGGCTGGTAAGTTTGTCCAGAGTGTGTGCAGCATGGAAGAGGAGGAAGCTCTCTCATCTATCAGAGATGTCTTTGGTGTTCAGTCACCCCATACTGCATTGAAACGAGCCACATCTCTCATCAGATTCATGAAGTGGCTGAGACCAGGAGTAGACAGTCACGAACCGCTCATGCCCCCGGAGCCGATCCTTTACGCTTTCCTGAAGGAGCTGACCTGCAGGTCAACAGGGAAGCTGGCAGCTCTCGGGACGGTCCAAGCTTTGCGCCTAGCCCAGCATGTTCTAAGATGTCACAACTTGGAGGCGGTTTTGTCACCACGAGTGGTGGGTGCAGCAGATCGTTCTGCAGGTGAGCACTTGCCTCAAAACCAGGCCCGTGATTTGACAGTTAGCGAAGTGCGACAGGTGGAAGAGGCCATACGTGCACAGGATGCCGACCCGATCGACAGGTTTGCTGCAGGGGTCATGTGCTTCCAACTGTTCGCACGGAACCGCTGGAGCGATGTAGCGTGCATTGACAGCCTCTCCTTTGATGTCACAGAAGTCGCTGGACGACCTGTCGGCTACGTAGAAGCCAGGGCACGCCATGTCAAGCAGAGCAGCCAAGCGAAGAAAAAGAAGGCGCTGTTCATGCCATTGGTGGCACCTATTCAGGGAGTCAGCCCCGACTTCTATTGGGCGCTTGAGTGGCGTCATGCTGCTCAGTTAGCAGGCATCGATCTGACAAAGCGACCGCTTGGGGCACTGCTCCCGGCACCGGGACCAGAGGGATCCTTCCTCAAACGACACATAGACACAGCTGAGGCGTCGGATTGGCTGCATGGACTGCTCTTGAGGAGCGATCCCACCCGACAGCGCACCACGTCGCACTGTCTCAAGCACACGGTGCTGGGTTGGCTTAGTAGGTTTGGGATCCACGGTGAGACGCAGACTTTGCTAGCGCACCATAGCACAGGGCCCATGAGTGACCTAGCTTACTCTCGGGATGCGCTGAGTGGACCAATTCGCCAATTAGAACAGATGCTCCAACAGATACGTGAAGGTTCATTTCTTCCTGACGCTACCAGGAGTGGCTATTTTGTTAGGGAGAATGTTAGCGAGGCAGCTCCGTCCTGGAGCATGGTCAGTGAGCCACCAACCGTGGCCCGTCCGATGCCAGCAACGTGGGAAGGCCCTGACCGCATGGAGCAGGCCAGTGTCGAGGGGGAGGAGCAGCATGGAGCAAGTCCAACAGGGACTTCCCTGTTTGGCACCAACTTCGGGAAGCGATGGCTTCTCATGGAAGGGACAAAGTGCAGCTTCGAACCGAAAAGAGTGGAGCCCACAACGGAAGGTGACATCCGGGACCACAGCCCAGAGGCGGCTGTAGAGGTGGATGTGGCAAACAGGACAACGCAGCAGCCTGGAATTACAGAATCTGGCGAAGCACCAGAAGACGAGAGAGATACGGTTTGCTCGGGGGCCGGCCTCGTGGCAACTGACGTCTTATCCCCCGTCTCCAGCTCTGACTCAGACACTGCGAGCTCCACGTCCATGGAAGAGGAGACGTGCGACCAGGCCCTTCCCGACGGCTTTGAGGCACTGCGAAATGTCAAATCGACAGTCGTGCACCTGCACAGGCCAGGTGCGGTGTCTCTGAAGTGTGGTCCAGTTGTGACAGAGAACTTTTCTCGAGTATCCCATACTCTTGAAGGTTCAGTTTTGTGTAAACGATGTTTTGCACAGGCATGATCGGTAAAACAAAGAGTGACAGAAGGATGTGCATCAGTGTCTGAGAAGCCTCAGCATCGCCTCTCCGAGCTCTCGCCCGGGCCCGAGGTCAGAAATAGTGTCTGTCGAGCAATGGCTAGCGCAGCAGACTCGGAGGCTTTCTTCAAGGAACATGCGGCCAGAGTAGGTATGGCTGAGGACGTGATAAACAAGCTAGTCGCACAAGGGATCAAGACGGTCAGCCAGGCAGCTTATGCAGCGTCTCCGCCGGGACAACCGTTGACAGATGCATCGGTTGAAGCCCTCTTGACAAAGATAGGTGCTGCCAACCCGACTCTGGCGTTGGTGACCCAGGCGAAGCGGCTCCTCTTCGAATCGCAGACCATGGCTTTGTCTCACTTGAAGTCGGTTGTAGAACAGAAACCGGAATCGATCGCCCGGCATATGCCTGGGGCTGAGCGCCATCAAAGGATGATGTGTCAGGCGACCAGACTGGCGGGCATTGAGATCAAGAACGACCTAGAGCCGGCTCACTCCGTGTACGATGTCATAGCAACGATGGTTGAGCACAGCTCCATCAAGTACCTGCACCCATCGAAGATTCCGACTCGTCAGCAGGAACTGTCCCAAACGAAAGGGACCAAGGAGCTGGCGCTTGATACTTCAGGAGCCAGCCTCACCATTACGGAGAAAGCTTCCTCGGCGCAAGCAAAGCTGGGCACGGAAATGGCAACCTACCGCGCCATGCAGAGGCGTGGCTTGGCCTTCGATTTGGTGGGTATCCTCAGCTACAAGGTCCACGAGAAGTGGTTGCAGAAAGCATTTAGCCGGCTGCAAGACCCGGCGATACCAGGTTACGCCCCAGTCTCCCTTGCGCAGGTCCTTAGGGCAGACAAGGCTCTCTGGCTGGTACTCGCCCAGGCGAGCATCAAACTCGAACGGGCAGCACCAAACGCGGACTTGGCGACTCCTCGATGCCTGGACGATGCCTTCACAAAGGCCATGGAGGCAGCGGAAGTTAGCTTTCCGCTCCTGCCTTTGCCAGCGAATGCGGAGGCGACCTTTCCTGGAAAAGGCAAAGGCAAGGGTTTCGGTGGTTGGAAGCGACAGCTTCCATGGGACGGCAAGGCCGGTCAGCCGCAGAAACTTGCCAGATCCGAGTTCTGGGGAAAAGGAAGGAAAGGAAAAGAGAAGGGTGGCAAGAATCATGGCGGGGGCAAGGACCCGTGGGGTTCAAAGGAGGGTCGTCGTTGGAACCAGTGGAGGCGGGAAGGCAAAGGGTCGCAGACGCCTATGCCTTTCAAGCTGAGATGTGGTGTGGCCGTTACACCCCAAGGCGAGCCTATCTGCTTCGGCGCCAACCTCGGCGAATGCCAGGACGCTCCGTTGGGAGGCAAATGTGCTGAGGGCTGGCACGTGTGCTGCCGACCCAATTGCTTCGGCAAGCACGCATTCATTGACCACCCAGGCAAGAAGGCCTGAGGGGCGTCGGAGAGCGATGGCAGCTTCCCGACCAAGGCACAGCAGTGGAGTGAGAGAGCCTTGCCGGTTGTCAGCGCCTCAGACAAAGCTGCGGATTTTGATTCAGACAAACCTGCGATTTTCGACTCAATGTGTCACACTTCGGCCAACTCAAGTGCTGGAGAGGCACCCGACTGGAGCTTACATGAGGGTGTCACGAACAGTTTTTCTCCCAAGCAATCTTCAGCTCCCATTGAGGAGAGCTCTGTAGTTCAAATCAACGATTCTGCGGTGGATAGTTTGGCAACGCCAGACAACTTGTCCGCTGATCAGCAATCAGCCAGCGATGCGACACACTTGCAGTGTGGGGGCCTGTCGTCGGGCGCGAAGCACATGCAGGAGTTTTGGTGCCTGGAGCTGTTCGCGGGCTCAGCTGGGATTACCGCCGCTATGGTGGCAGCTGGTCTTACAAAGAGCTTCGGTGTAGAATCCTCTCTGCGGCACGACCGCAAGGCGAAAGTACTTCGACTTGACATGCTCAAACCGCAATGCCAGAGCATGATCCTTAGGTGGATAAGATCACCAGGCTTGGCCCTGGTGTGGATGACACCCAGCTCCAGGGCAAGGGAGCTGCCAGGGCCCCAGAATTCAGCGCCGCTTAGGGATGCTCGGCACCCGGAAGGTGTGCCGTCTCTGAAGGAGGACGAGCTGCGTAGGGTTCAAGCAGCAAACCAGCTTTTCGGCTTCAGTGCGACAGTATGGCAATTGTGCTGCAGCCTGGGCATTATGTGTGTTATACAAAACCCGTACCGCAGTTGGATGTGGTTCGGCCAGGAAATGGTTGGCGTCTTGAGCATGGGATGCACCAAGGTGCTTGAAAGCCATGCATGCATGTTCGGCGCTGGACATAGAAGGCGCATGGCATTGGCAGTGAACACTGGAGCGTTTGATGCGCTTGCCCGTGAATGTGACGGAGCACACGATCACGAGCAATGGAAGGACGGAGCCCTGCTCAAACAAGGTTGTTGCCAGCGCCCCAGCAGACTGTCCAGTCAAGGAGCAGTCTGCCCTCAATGGCTTCATTGACTGCAGGCAACCGGACCAAACGAGCAGCAGCCCAAAGGCTTGTGCCTGAATTCAAGGCCCAGTTCAAATCCAGGACAGCGAACTTGCTGACCAGCAAGGGATGGCATCCAGCGACAGCTCTCTGCCGACGGCCGCAATGGCTGCCCGCATCTCAGGAAGTTTTGATCAGTCCCCTGTCGGAGGACCACGAGGTCTACGTATCTGTTCCCTGGACATGTCAGGAGTTTTGTGCACAGGCGCGCAAGGTGGGTCACCCGAGTCATCTTGACTTGGGGCTCTCTGATCCTCTCAAGCGTACCATCGAACAGGTGGCAGCGGAGTCCCCCAGTTGCGTCATGCAGATTAGGGTACAACAGTGCAAGAGGTGGGCGCAGCGGGCTCAGGCATTGGAGGCCCAGGAAAGGATTGCCAAACAGGCCCTGCCTAAGCATATCCGGGACTCACTCCGCAGCAAACGCATTCTTCTCCTTCAGGAGATGTTGAGTGCGTCAGCATATCCTGATAAAGCTATCGGAGAGGATTTCCTAAAAGGTTTCCCCTTGACAGGGAGCCTCCCTCTACCAGAAGGCTGGGAACCGGACGTTCGTCCAGCACTCATGACAGATGCGGATCTGAGTGCACTCCACTGCGACAACAATGACAAGATCATACAAGAAGTCGTCCAGAACTGCAGATTTGTTCAGGAACTATGGGATAAGTCCATTCAGGAAAGGGACAAGGGATGGTCGCAAGGCCCTTACCGCCTGGCCGACCTACCTGAAGATGCGCTGATCAGCAAGAGGTTTGGAATCCAACAAGGCCACAAACTCAGGCCGATCGACGACCTGAGCCAGAGCCTTATCAACATGGCTTTTGAATCGCACGGGAAAGTTCATGTTCATGATGCAGACGTCATCACAGCAGCACTGCTGATGTTTCGCCGACTGCACAAGGGCAAGGTTTTTGGCAAAACGTTGGATCTCAAGGCGGCCTACCGCCAACTACCTCTGGAGGAGCAAGCGCTTGACAAAGCCTTCATCGCAGTCAAGTGCCCTGAAACAGGCGAGGTAGTGTTTATTTTTTTTTCAGGCTTCTGTGCCTGCCTTTCGGTGCCACGGCAGCTGTACACTCCTTCATCAGAGTTTCCCTCGCCCTGTGCCACATAGGGAACGTCCTTTTTCGACTGCCTATGACCGCCTACTATGATGATTTCACTCTTTTCAGCAGCGAGGAGCTTCGTAACTCCACCTCGGCCACCGTCGACATCATGTTTTCCCTGTTTTTCGATTTTGACCGAGACGGTGATAAGGCGCAGGACCTGCGCACGACTTTCCGAGCATTGGGGGTGCAATTTTCGTGCCTGGAGGACGAGGATCGGACTGTTCTTGTGTCAAACACAGAAGAAAGGCTTGAAGATGCAGTGGAAAAGCTTCAGGAGATCATCGAATCGGGTTCACTCACCCCCAAATTGTGGGCGAAGATGCGCGGTCGTTTGGGTTTCATGAGCGGACAGATTGCCGGCAGACTTCCACGAGCACTGTTGCGGGCAGTGACCGTGGCCGTCTCAGCTGCAGGGACCAACTGCGGGGAAGTAGCCACGGCCCTACAGAGAGTGTTGGAGTTCTTGAAAGGTGCGCAACCAAGGCGGCTCAGACCGGCGCTACGAGACGTCATCTTTGTTTACACTGATGCGTCGCAAGAGGGAGTAGAGTAGACAATCTTGACATGGGGCTTGGTGCAGTGGTCCAGGACCACGAGGGAACCATCTTGGGGTGGTTTGGTCTTTTGCTCCCCCGTGACGTTGCTGAGGATGTCTTGCGTGAAGGGAAGAAGTGCATCAATGAGTTAGAGAGTCTAACTGTAGCATTGACTGTTCGTCTCTGCGCGGCCATACTGCTACAGCGGCACGTGGTATTCTATCTCGATAACGAGGCAGCCAGAGTGACATTGCTTCGGATGCAAAGTGAGAATGCCATGCTTGACGCAGTGGCCAAAATCTCAGCTGTCCACGAGTCCGAACTGTCCTGCATTCCATGGTATGCACGTGTGCCGTCGCGCAGCAACATAGCTGATGCGCCGAGTCTCACACACTCGGCCCTCATTGCTGATGTCCGAATCATCAAGCACTTCCACTTGCCCAAGGCCAAAATGCAGCAGGAACTACAATACTCGAGACATGACCTTGACTACGCGTATCGCCAGAAGGATCACCGAATCACACAATTAAAGAGTAAAGTGGAGTTGGAGATAAATCACAGCTTGCACCACGGCCTCCCACTGACTGCAGATCACATCAATCACACATTACTGCGTGAGGTCTCTGAACTCTTCCCAACAGCTACATCAGCACACACCAATCGAGGCCAAACCAAAAGCACAGTGCAAGGCCATCTTTGCTGCGTGGAAAGAGCTGTTGACCCACCCTGACGAAGTAGGAGGCTCGACCATCACACTGCCTGCCCGCGTCTACCACATGTGGCAGAGACGTAGGGATCTTCAGCGATGCAAGCCATTCACCCTGTCAGGAGTGCTTCGCACATGGCAATGGGTGCTCCTCTTCAACAAGGCAGGACGGCAGAGCAAGCAATATCATCTCCAGCATCAACGGGCCATAGCACTGGGGCACTTACAGCAAGCTGAAAGGGCCGCTCAGACGCATAACACGAAGCGTCTCTATGGTGCAGTCAAGCGACTCCTGCCCTGGAAGCCCAAGCCCAGGATCATGCTTAAGCACCCGGATGGATCGCCCATGTCTCTGCACCAGGAACACCAAGCACTTGTCCAACGCTGCAAACAACTCTTCGCACCCCCGGCGGCATCTCCCAATCGACCAGGCCAGACGCTTAGCATGCCATTGACTGCCTGTGAATGGACGACACAGCTCAAATGTACTCCTATAGGCAAGGCCGTGCCTGCGGACTCCGCTCCGGCCACAGCGTGGAAGGCCTGCGCGACGATTGTGGCGCCAGCCATGGCCTGCATAGCCAAAGGACTTCAGCCGGTAACCTCAGCACTACCTGATGCATGGAAGAACCCTCAGTTGTGTTTCCTTCCCAAACCACATAAGCCTCCATCCACCGCAGCTGCTCTCAGACCTATAGGCCTACTCAGACCGGATGGCAAGGCGTTTGCAGGCCACATCAAAAATCAGCTACTGATGCAGGCCTGCTCCAGCCTTACTCACACTCCACAGTATGCATACCTTCCGGCACGGGACACGACGGATGCGCTGGCAAGGGTCAACGCATGCATACATGACATCAAGGACGGTCTCAAGGCCTTGGGTGGGAATAGGTTCCTGACGAGACAGCGCAAAGAAACTGGACAGGTCAAAGGCGAATCAGGAGGGTGCCTCCTGTCGGTCGACCTCAGCCAAGCTTTTGATCGTGTCAACCGTGCAAAACTAGATAGAGCGTTGGCACTCCACCAGGTTGATGCTGACCTTAGATCTACCGTCACCGCCATCCACGAGCAGGCTGCTTACCAGGTCAGGGATAAATTTCACCGGACAGATATCTGCACGACGCAAGGAATTCGCCAGGGATGTCGACTAGCACCAGCCCTATGGGCAGTGCTGTCGTCTCAGTTACTCTGGGATCTTACTCCCGCTGGTCAAACGCCGTTGCAGCTTCCATTCACGTTGTTCGCCGATGACCATTTAGGCCATTGGCTCCTCAAAACGGTGGATGATGCCAAGCGAATGGAGGAGACGATAGTGGCACTTTTTCACATGTTGGAAACATACGGGCTCAAGGTTAATCCGGATAAATCCAGTTTGGTCATTCGGGTCCAGGGAGCGCAACTTGAAAAATTTGTCAAAAGCCGCACGGTTATAGTTCGCAACCAGGCGCATTGGAAACTACAAGATGGAGAACACACACATCTCATACCGATGTGTGAATCCATCACTTACCTTGGCACCAAGCTCACACTGAAAGAGGGCACCGGCCATACACTTGACTTTAGGCTTGCTGAAGCTGAGGCGAAAGACTACAGAGTACGGGTTTGGCAGGCTTGCGTGGTAAACAGTGCGCTTTATGGTCTACTAACTACTCCTTTCTCTGGCCAAATGATAACTAAGCTGAGGGCGTGGTTTCACCGCCAACTCAGAGCGGTCACAGGTATGCCAGCTCACCTCACAAAGGTGAGTAATCAGACGCTGAGAGAAACCTACAACCTGAAGGATCCTGTACATATGCTGACGGAGCGCATTGCGCGCAAACTTGAAGCTATGCAACAAGGACGAGGCGATCCTGCCACGTGCGAAACTAAGACCTTTGAGTATTGGCAAATGCTACACAAACAACTTGCTAGCCATGCTGTGGAACCACGCAATGTGACGCTGGTGGAACTCTCCAGCTCTAGCCATGCTGTGGAACCACGCAATGTGACGCTGGTGGAACTCTCCAGCTCTAGCCAACATGCCTGCTCCATATGTGGCCTATACTACCCGACCCAAAAAGCCCTTAGGCAACACCAGGCGCTCAGACACGGACAGATTCAAGCCAACAAACTCAGTATCGACTACAAACCCGAACAACATTCTGTTGCGGGCATGCCACAATGCAAACACTGTCTTCTGAAGCTGTATGACTGGGGTGCATTAAAAGGGCACATCATGCAAAACGTGTGCGGTTGGCACACCAAACAGCTCAGCGACTCGAACAACAATAGCCAGCAGGATACGAAGACTGTTAAAGAAACAGTGCCTGTTCCACACAAGGTCGACACCCCACATACCCCGGTTGAACCTAAAGAGCGGCAACACGAACCACGGAACACCACGACTGAGGAGAGCACGCTCCTGCAAAACGAAGCGACACTGGCATTGCTTCAAAGTCATGAGGGAATATGCACCCAAGCAGCACTACACAAAACCTACCTCAAACAGCACTGCGGTTTCTGTGGCCGCTGGATTGCTGATGCCGGCATGATTAAAACGCATATCCAGAGAGTGCATACGAATCTTGCACGGCATATCACCTCAGACATACACACTTCATGCCAGGCCTTCAAGCACCTCTTCAAAAGGGACCATACATGTGAGTGGTGTGACAGAATGGTGCACGGCTCAGATCGGCATTGCTCTCAATGCCCAGTTCTTTTTCAGCTGATACTTGCAAGGACCAGCAGACAGGCGGCCTCCGCTTCACCTGAGACCCAGCTCCCTACAGTATGGCCTGTACCACACCCAGGGATGGACGTTGCGATTTACCTCAAATCACCTACTCAAGATGAGATGCAACTGCACATACAGCACATGTCCACGCTTGCCAAGACACGATGTCTCCTATGCGGTGAACAGGTGCAAGACATCCAACACTGGCGACGACACATGGCGCAGCGGCATGACTCTCAGAAACAGCTTGTCCAGAGTCTAGCTCAATCCGAAACACTGCTACAAGCACACGTTGCGCGACCTTGCTGCTGGTGCAATGTCCACTTCCCAAAGTCTGCTCGAGAACACAGACGTAAGTGCCTCCCTTTGCTGCAGCTCTGCCTGTACCATGACCTCCACGTCAGTGGAGACCACGCCGGAGCAACAGATGGCGGCAGTGTGGGGCCTCAGCTCACCACTGGCGACGACGCCTACACCACAGAGACAAGCGTCCGTCAGACACAGACTGACGCAAGGGACGCCGCAAAAGTATCGAAAGGGCATGGGCAAGGGCGCAGGCAAGGCAGCTCCCAAGGCAAAACGGGATCGGGACCAGGAAACAGAAGACGAGTTGATGATGGACCTGGAGTCGCTGGACGAGGAGACGGTGAGAACGGCCTTGAAAACCTTGGTCAAAACAGCACTCAGACACGAACACCAACTGACGATCTTGGAGGCAGACCGGAGCTACGTGTTCTTCCTGGACACGACGAACCACGGCATTGTCTCCATGCTGATCCAGGCCAGCGCAACATGGAACACAAAGTTCGAGGAAGGCACGGTCAACACCTCGCTGAGGGCCACGCTATGGGGAGTACTACTCATGGAATGGAAAGCACGCCTCGAGAAAATCGAGTCCGACACCAAGGTACTACAGGTAGCAGAAACAGCAGGATGGGCAACGCGGTCTCCGCTCCAGTGGATCTACAACGAGTGGAATCCGGTACAGAAAAAGGCGCTACCATCAAGTCGGGACAACCTCACTCACGAGGACGCAAAAAAGGCAGTCAACCAGCTCATCACAAACACCGCCAAGGACAACACAGTGCACCGGTTCCAAAGCCTACGACCACAGAAGCCGGACCTGCAGGCGGAAGTGATCACCATGGTCCTGACGCTCACCGTCCATCAACAGGCGGCAGCCGTTTACCACGACCTGGACCTCTTGGCAAACAACTGCGCGGGCAAGCTGATCGGTCTACGCTTGAGACGGGAGCGAGTGGGCAAGACGGCGCTCACCAAGGAGCTCGAGAGACTGCAGATCTAAAGAGCAAGCAAGGGATATCCGGGGGAAAGCGGACTCCGCGCCCCATGCTCAGTCAAAAAGAGACTGAGAAGGAGCAACTGCAGACAGGCATCCGCAATTTCTTTTCAGCCCCCGTCCATGCCATGTCAGCGAAAAAACCCCGTAGCACTCTGAATGATCCGGCTTGCACTAAGAACAGGGTCAAGGGCAGCATGGATGGGGCTTCGGGACATTCGGTGAGTGAGACCACTGAACAACCAGTGAAGAGTACACCGAAACAGGGTCAAGTAGGCATCCCATCAAGGGGGAAACATGGGACTGCGGGCGCGGGGACAAAAGTGGAGGGCTCTTTATTGGCATGGCGCACCCGCGATCGTATAACCAATGAGCCTCATGCTAGATCACTCGCACTAACTAATCCACATAACCTTTGCTATGCCAACGCAGTGATTCACATGCTGCACTATGCTCGGTCCCATGATGCTTTTATATCAGGTCTGGGCGAAGTCAATGGGGCCATCGTACAGGCCTCAAGATCCAACCAGCACCTGAATATTGCCAGACACCCGGCATGGAACTTCATATGGCCAGGATGGCAGAAGCCCACGCGACAGCATGACGCGGCTGAGTTTCTGCAGCACCTTTGCAACCGCACGGACTGCGTGGCACTCAAGGGGGGATGGGAAGCTAGACGCCCACAAGCAGGGGCATATGAAATCCTGGATGAGCAGTTCAACTGTCCACACATAAGACTGGTGGTCCAACACCCCTTCAGAATACAGGATGCAGTAACAGCTTGGCATACACAAGACCCGCCACATGCCTTAACTAGACCCCCCGAACTTCTCATCCTCCAGATCGGACGATTTGTCCAATCAGCCGGAGGCATTAGGAAAACGCGGCAGAGGATTGAAATACACAAACATCTCACAGTTCCCACCTTCACTGGACATGCCGGTGACGTTGTCAACACCCCGTACAAGCTATGCGGAGGGGTCATGCACATAGGCAAGGTGGTAACGGCCGGGCACTATCAGGCATTCTACTTTCCTGGTGACACTGAGGATATTTGGTCCTGCCACCTCGTACATGACGACGGTCAGGCCGCCACGCCAGGGACGGATGCCACGCGACAGGCCATTCTTACCAACTGCTACTTGCTTGCATACCGCATCAATAGCCATGTGTGACTCTACATGGGAAAGTGGCCTCCACTCCCCACTGGTGTACGCAGGACACTCATGATTCTCAAGCTCTCAAACATGAGAGGCTAACTCTCTACACTCAGTCCAACAAGGCCTGAGGTCTCCTCGCCTTGTGAGTCGACACTCTGACAAGGAGTAGACATAGGCTGTAGACAAGCTGGCCCTCATGATGTCTCCTGTACAGTTTTTTGCTTGTTAGCTTCACTTGTTAGTTCCCAGCTGTGACACCTCAGCTGTCGGGCTCTGAGGAGCACAGCTTTGCGGCTGCCAAAGGCAGTATTTATCTTTCTAGGATTGTACAACTTTGCTGTCGGGCTCCACGGGGCACAGCAGGGTTTTTATCTGCCTCACACCGGCGAACCCTCCAGCAGAGAGGGGTGACTAGCTCACACTCGCCCGCATGACAACTGCCACAGTTGATGCGAATGAATGAATGAAAAAATGATGCGCCGAGTCCACAGAGTGTGCGAGGTACAAACCTCATCTCACCCGCGACAGTGCATGTGACTTTTGCGAGGCCATGGTGTACCAGCCCGACAGGCACGCTCGGAGCTGCGCGGTCATTTTTCAAGCGGCCTTGGCCACAACATGGCATCAAGTTGGGGCGCCGGAAACGGCCCCCGTCACAAGAGATGTGCGAGCATACATCACTGCTGAGTTCCTTGCCAGGCAGTTAAACCCAGACACGCACAAGCAGGACACATTAGATGCTGGGGATAAAGAAGTAATTGACATGCTGACACGGCACTGTGGGCTTTGTCTTCAGACGCTGACGAATCAACAGGACTGGAGAAGGCACTGTGCCAACCAGCACAAGGAGGCCTGGAAGCAAGCTGGTGGGTTCGAGGAACTGTTGCACAGCTTGCCACTAGCTAGGCCGTGCCATCACTGTGGAGTCACCTACCACAAAACCCCGAAGGTCCACGCTCAAAAGTGCCTGCCACTTTTGCAAATAGCATTCCTGTCGCGCCATGGACGACAAAGCGCTACAGGAAGTGGCGAGCATGTGGGGGCAACACAGCCCGATGGAAGGGGCGGAAATTTCGTCGCAGAGAGGGCAAGGGCCCAGGCAAGGCAAAAAGGGAGCCGACAACGGCCCCAAGTCACCAGCTGGCGAGGCAAGTACAAGTTCTGACCAAGTACGTCAGCCAGCACGCAATGGCGCTGCAGCTGTTGGAGGCGGACAGAAGCTGGGTTCTCTGGATGGACTCTGGGGCGCTGGGCATCATACCCCAACTGGTAAAGACCACGGCCACTTGGAAGGAGAGCCGAGAGCAAAACAAGTGCACCTGCAGCCTACGCCAGGCTCTCCTTGGAGCACTCCTGCTGGAACTGCAGGCCCGGCTTGCAAGAATGGAAGGCGACAAAGCAGCACAGGCGCCGCTCATTCAGAAGAAGATGCTCGTCGCGGAACCAATGGCGTGGACGTACACACGCTGGAATCCGGAAAAGAAGCTTCAGGAGCCCAGGGAGGGCAACGTGCTTGCGCATCAGGACGCAAAGGAAGCGGTCCAATTGCTGATGAGGGAAGTCATCAAGCCCAATGTCATTCAGAGATTCCATGCCCTAGGAGGGGTCAAGGAAGACAGGCCAGGAGCCACGACGTTCGTGCTGACAGTCTCCCTGGATGCCGAAGCCCGGCCCAACATCAACAAAGCGCTGCAGGCCCTCACGGAGTCCGCGGCCACCACGCTCATCGGTGCACGGATCCGCCCGGAGAGGAGTCACAAGCCACTGCCGGAGGACCTACAGCAGGCCATCGACGCAACGAGGAGGCAGTGAGACCTTCTCGCCAAAGTATTTTTACTAGTAAAGGCACGTTGGGTTTGGAGCGTCTTCCAGAGGGTGTGTTACACCGTGATCTCGCAAAAAACACATGTCCCGGGAAGCTGCATCACGGCCCCAATACCCCCGTCAAACATAGTGATACAGGTCCAAATTCAGGGAGATCACGGAACATAGGGGAATGGCTGAAGGGGACAGGTCAGCCAGCACAGGAGGCGGACGCCAAATCCCGCAGCCAGGGGAAATCCGAATGCCAGGGGAAAAAAGACGCCGACGCACCGTGCCAGTTAATTGCAGCTACATCAATGCGTGCTGGAAAACCCGTCAAACCTTTGCTACCTCAACTCCATGGTCCAAGCACTACTGCACTCTTTTGGCCAGGTGAAGGCGACAGACAGGGCTGGCTTCGGCAGCCTGCGCCCCATGCTCAATGCACTGACAAAATGTGCCAAGCCTCAACAGCTGAGCCGAAGGAGTGACTGTATGAAGCTCCTACAGGGATGGCAGGGCCTTCATCAACAGCATGATGCCGCGGAACTGCTGCAGCATCTCACAAAGGACGGGGTCCCTAAAATCTTAGCGGGGAGATGGGAGTCAAGAGTATCTGGAATTAGTGAGCACGAACCGGCCATAATCCGGGCATGGAATACGGCTGTGCCGTTAATCCCACTGCCCTGCACCGGACAGGCCACGACGCAGCTAGCACTGAACTCATGGACTGCTCAGCCGGGACCTCGCAACGAGGCATATGTGACAGCACTGGCAGAGGCTCCTGAGATACTCAGCGTTCAGCTAAGTCTTGCGCTTTCAGGAAAAGGGTGGTCGCATCAAAAAGGTCCGCAGCCCAGTCAACGTCAATCCAGTCATCAGTGTTCCCATCTTCACCGATGCCCACACTCAACAGCTCACCACGAGTGAATACCGACTCATCTCTGGGGTTGTTCACACAGGGGACACCCCCAACACTGGGCACTACCGATGCCTCTATCTCAAACCACAGTCCCACTCCTCTGAGGTTGAGATGATTGCTGAGGCCTTTGACAAAGGAGCCGCAACTTCGGCCCTACAACTGGTAGATGATGGTAGGACGCCATCTAACGCCACAGCTAGGGATGTACAGCATATAAATCGCAACTGGTACATACTTTTCTTTTCGCGGCAATAGTCCGCGCCGCCATGGAAGGCGGTAGGTGTCCGGCGCGCCGTATGAGGCCACACCAACTGTGTGTGTTGCGCCCGCAGAATCACTGACTCAGTGAACGCGTTGGAATGAAAATGATGCGCCGAGTCGCTGCTGTTTCCTGGGTCTGCCCAACCCCTGCAGGATCAAGGACGATGTTACTGTGGAAGCATTGCGTGAGGTACTACGTCAGGCACGTCGCTTTGTTGCCCAGACTACTTGACCGAGGAAGGGACTTCTGTCTTCTTTTCTCCCCTTACCTAGGAGGGGTTTTTCGTGTTATTGTACCCAGTGAGACAGAAGACCTGCGTAATGGACAGGTGGTCGATTCTGTACCCTTCCTCGGAAAAAGAGCTCGAATGGAGTGACTAAAGGAAATGAATATTCGAGAAGACGAAAATACATTCATGGATGAATTTGGGAACAAAATAAGGGCTTGGTACTCTTGAGTACAAACCTTTATTTTGAGAGAAAATTTTTCACCATGGAATGCGTGAGAAATTTTTGGCTCAGCCCGAGAGGGCACTGAGAGTCAGATGAGCAAAATAAAAAGGCCCCGCCCACCCACCCAGCAGTGAAGGTGTGATGCTGTTGCGGAAGGACAGCCCGTCCAGTGCCTGACTCTCCCATCCCGGGCCTGCAGCGCAGTGGCCCAAGCTAGTGCAGCCTGCGTTGCAATGGATGCGCCCCCTAGGATCACGGCCCTGCAGATGAGAGCCTTCGAGATTTGGGTTCGTACATTGAGTATGGACCAGATCATCATGCTGGCCGAGCGCATCGAGGACGTCTTGGCAGATAGAGAGATAGAGATCCGTGAGCGATTGCAGGCCAGGCGTAACCGGTTGAATGCTACGCTCTCAACAGCTGCGAGCTCGTCTTCCACGCCGCAAGAAGCCCAGCCTAGTGAGCAACGTCCGAGTTCTTCGTCTCGTGACCAGTCTTGGGAGTTCCTTGACCCACAGTAGGCATAATCCCTCCTGACGGTCAGGCCCGCTGACGACGACCATGGGTGTAAAAGATGGTCCGACACACTCATATGTGCTGCATTGTTCCTTGTCAGTGACAGCGAAACCTGTGTCAGCTCACCAAGTGCTCCACCTTCGGTCGGCTGCGGGCTCAAACTGCACGATGTTCTTCACCGCCCATGTTTGTGCTAGTTAACATTGGGAGAGTCACCTGTTTGACTGTGAGTATGAAGAGGGATGCTGAAGCTGCAAACCTTGAGGAGGGCACGAACCGCGAATCCAGGGCCCAATGGTTGGCAGTGATGGTCACCAATGTTCCGGTTGTGGAAGTTGTGCTCTGTCGAGTGGCGGCTACAGGAACAGTCGACGACATCAAGTTTGCGATTGCTGATGACATATGGCATCGCACCGGGCATGATGTGAGAACTTCCAGTTTTCGCTTGGAACTGCAAGGGCGACACGTGCCCTTTAGCACGAACCTCAACGACTTACCTTTCACTCCGGGAGCTTGCTTGCACTTCGTTTTCCAACTCAGCCACTGACAGGACGAATACTTAGGCGGAACCTCTGAGCTTAGACGGTGCGTAAGTTTCACATACCCGACGGGGTTTTTCGTGTTATTGTACCCAGTGAGACAGAAGACCTGCGTAATGGACAGGTGGTCGATTCTGTACCCTTCCTCGGAAAAAGAGCTCGAATGGAGTGATTAAAGGAAATGAATATTCGAGAAGACGAAAATACATTCATGGATGAATTTGGGAACAAAATAAGTGTTAAGTTGTCTTGCAATAAGAGCCTCTGCGCTAGCGGTTGCTTCTTTGTTGGCTTGTACAGTTTGGCTCTCAAAGTAGATGTCCTTTCGTTGCCAAGACTTGCCCACTGGGCCGCTGATGTGGAAAAGGGGCGTCCGCTTCAAAAAAAAAGGTTCGACTGGTTGCGGATTGGAGTTGCTGTTGAATTGGTGGATAATATGATGTGGCTGTGGTTCCTATTTGTGCTTGGACTGGATGCTGCTGCACTCCTTTGTTTGGCTGGATGTCGGTCGGAGCGACATCTGCAACATAGGTTCTGATCATGCTTGCTGGTTCTACACTTTCGTGCCCCGTCGCATCACACTCTTCGCAACAGCTGGTACAACTATCTGCTCCTCTTCACGTGCTGAGAGAGCCGTTTCACCATTGTAGCTTTGTAGATTCCTCTGGTTGGCTTGGTTTCTTCCCTTGTCTTTTGGATGATGCGTCTGACATTTATGTTTCACATCCTACAAGCAAAGGCTTGACTCGCTTACTGCGCCGCTAGATGTGGTAGAGAGGCTCGCTGCCAAAAAAATGCCCTGTGCCACGGCTCGATTGCGCGGCAATGCATTTGCAGCGTTGTCAAACCCTTCATCTTGCTGCGACGGAAGCAAGAAGCAGCCAAGAGCTGCGCAGGGTTTCGCGATCATACTTCGCATTGGCAACTACATGAACCACGGAGTCAAGGATGCAAGCGATGCCGCTGGTGGCATGTGCTTTCTTCATTGAGACATTGGCGGCAATAGCAAGCTTCAGACTTGGCAACATGTCTATGCTCCAGTTTCTTTGCGTGGCTCTTCGCCGCACGAGACCAAACTTTGTCGATGCGTTGTCCGAGTCTGAAGCATGTCCCGGCGGCGGCCAGGGAGAAAAGTGTGCATCTGAAGTCATGCATCCACGAATGTCTGAGCGAGGTGGAGTTCGCAGAAAGAGAGGTATCTCACATGCCGGAGAATCATGGCGAGTGTCAGCAGGTCCCGAACCATGTTTAAAGAAGATAACGCCGGAATGTCTGCGTATTGTCCATTGTTTCTTGTGCAGATGCACCAGACCTGCTGCTAGCAACAGCATAGGGAGCATAATGAATACAGCACTGGCCTGGCAGCCCCTGACATGTCGAGTACCAGAACACACTCACAGTGTCTTTTCGTGTTTCGTCCACCGACCTCCTTCCAAGCTTTTTGTAAAGACTCAAGTTCGTACGGAGGTGGCTCTGAGTCCTTTGGCTTTTCCTCCGGAGAGCAGAAAAATCCCAGTACTTCCTCGCACTTGCTGACTGCCTTCGCAAAGGAGTCCTTGAGATCAACAACTTCTGAGGAAAGATCTTTCAGTAGAGCGTCTGTGGCCCCTGAAGAAGGTCGTCCAGATGCGTGTTGACAGCCTAGCCGCATCCTGCAGAGGTATTCGGTTTTCGGTATGCCTGTTTCAGATTCTACTGAATAGCTCCTTTGACGTTGTCAAAAAAGTTGCAGCAGGATTATGAGGCGTCGTTATTCTTGGTCGGAAGCGGTATTGCCCCCCCTTTGCAAAGTGACAGTAAGCCAGGAGCGACTTCCGTGTGAAACCACAGCCGTCAAGCTCTAGCCCAATTTGTACGTTGTTTGTTGGCACAGGTTTGCTTAACGCGACGGACGCTCCAAACTCCCAATGGTATCCACTCAACAGCTAAAGCCACACGACCCTGAAACTAAGCCTCCAGCTGTCAACCCTACGCCCAAGGCTGACCTTCTCATGGGTTCAGGTTTGCCGAACTCGTTCTGCAGTATTGAGTCAGGCCAAGAGCTGGGACGTGTTTTCTTCCATGGAGGTTGCAATGCGAACCAACTGGGTTCAGCAAACTGTTTGGTTTAAGGTGCATGGTCAGCACACTTCGGTGAGCAGTCAAGCTTGGGGGCGTAGATGTCGCGGGAACTTTTGCCGGTCTGCGTGCGCGCGCTCTTAAGTTGCGCGGCTACCTTGCACAAACGCCTTTGGTGTGATGAAGCTCACAGTAACCGCCCATGTAATGTCCGTTATAAGGCTGCCGATCGGCGTCGCTAACCCCTTATGCAACAACTGTGGGACCGAGCCTGCTAGACCTGTCCGACATGCTGCAACACCTGCACAGACGTGTGTCTGCCTTGCACGTTGAAACAGCTCCCAATGGGGCTGGAAGCAAGAACTGGGGCTTCCAAAGTAGGATCCGAAGTTTGCGGAACGAATCGGATCCTGAGAGGTGACACGAGTATTTGCATTCCTTGGTTCAAGTGTGTGCGTCCCAAGTCACTTCTTTGTTGGCGGCACACAGTCCGTGCCTCGTCCCAAGCCAGGATTGCAACTCATGGGTTGCATAGACGTCGTGTTGGATTTCGTGTCTCTGCGGTTGTGAGAGCAGCTGGTGGCCTGAGGTGGAGCCCATCAACATGGGTGCCTCAGAAAGTGCACCGCCGGATCATGTCTTTTGACTGAAGCAGGGTATAGCAGGGTTCTGTCTTCGGATACCTTGCAGGATGCTGGTTCGCAGTAGGAGCGTCTAGTTGAGCGTTTGTGTTGCCTTTGTTTCTTCCGTCTGCAGCGGGCTGTTGCAAATGCTGTGATTTGAGGGAGCTGTGGACAGAGTCGTCAAGATGGCAACGAAAGATGCAGTGGAGGAGCGGGACATTTCAGCTGTGGACATTTGGTAAGTAAGTGGAAAGTCTCCGTGACTGCTATGCTTTCAAAGCAAGAGGCAACAATGGACATGCCACGATGCGCCAAGTTTCCACTAGTCGATCTCCTCTGCCCCTGCCAGAAAGCCACGACCAATCAGCTCTGGGACAAATGGGAGAAGGACGTCGAGGCCAGAGGAGAGCGACTGCCAGAATATGCTTCTTGGCAAGAAGTTCTCCAAGTGTGATTCGTGGTTCCGTTTTCGCTTCGCCGTTCTCGTGCCCGAGGTTCCCTTGTGGTGGCCTTACACTCGTTTTTGGTACGGGCGCACACGGCCGCCTCGATGGGTCGAGCCACTTTTCTGAACGCCAAAATACGTCCATGGCTTCAGCGCACCAGTTAGTTCATGCCGGTTAGAGTCACTAGTGCAAAGCATGCACAGCTGGAATGGGCAGTTTCCTGTGGCAGTGCCAAAATTGCTCTTGGCAGTTGCTGGGGCCTTGGGGGGGCATGCGCATCCTGCCAAGGGGCGCCACAATCGTCCATGAGGATGATTCAGGCTCTCCTGTTAACTTATGCGAATCTGACTCCGATTGCCTTCAGTTGCCGTTTTTTTGTTAGGAGTTCAGGGTTGTGCAGCCATGTGCAGAATGTCTCAATGCGTGGATGTTGTGTGGGGATGTTTGTGGTTCGAAGCTGTTCTGGCAGGCCAGCTATGGGAGACCCACGTGGATGTCAGGCTCCAGGAAGGGCGCAAGAGATCCTTGGACAGCAAGTGGTAATTCCCAAGGGATGTCAAGAGGGGCTTCCGAGATATTGGGAGACTGCCAGATTACGAGACCAGATGATTGCGTCTTCATGTGCCTACTTTTTGGCTGGCAGTTGCAATCGTATTACTTTGTCCAGAGCTTCTGTTTCGCAATGAAAGTTGCAGGTTTCGTTCACAACTGGACACGAAAGAAGGTGAGAACTGTTTGTTGAGTGAGGCAGGATGGTTCTGGATGCCGAAGGCATCGGAATCCTGGGAGACGTTCGCAGCAAAATCCCATCGGTAGGGGAACGCTTTCAGCTGGTCCAAGACTTGTGCCGGGAAGATTTGCTCCGTTGTTTCCCTGTGCTTCATGCAGTCCGGTCTCTCTCTTTTGTGGGCGACAACCATCGACGGAAGCAGTGATATGTGGCACTGCGCTGGCATGACATACTCGGAGGCGTATGTCGTGGTCCACACAGCAGACCGGTTTCACAGTTGGCGGCTTTGTTGCCGAGATTTGTCGACTGTTGACGGTTGGACGTGGTTCGTTATGGTTGTTGGTCGTGGATCGGCCTGAATCGGCCTGAATCGCCTTTCAGCCTTGGTTCAAACGTCTGTTCAGTCACTCTTGGGCCACGCTGTCACAATGACAGCCCGCCCTGTTCATAAAGGCCTTCTCAAGGCCAAGACTGCATATGGGGGCTAAGTTGGGGAGAGAAGCGCCTTGCCAGAGCTCTCGCAGCACTTAGGAAAGACACACCTGCGCATCCAACATGGAAGTATTTTCGCAATCCTTCACGTGTTCTCGCAATTCACAAATTACTCAGAAGTCTGAGATTGAAGGAGCGCGCATTTCCCCCCGAAAAGCAAAGGCCTGATGTTGTCAGGCCTTGTCACGGCTTCTCTTCGTGCAGTTCTGTTTCCTCTGCGTGACAAAAACCGCGGTCAAAATAGTGCCAAAAAGCGTTCTTACAGGTTGCATGAGTTGGATGGCTTCTTGCACTGCCGAACAGCGAATTTCCTGAACCAGGATGTTTGCGGAAGCCTTGCTCAAGCAAGACCTAGTGCAGCGGCCTTGTGCCTGTTTCTTGATCCGATGGGCAACCAACTCTGGAAGAACCCTGCATCTCGGCATTGTTTGGCTTTCATATCCCAGGGGTTTTTAGTTTAGCATCCCATCCAACAACTGAGCAGCGCAGCCGTGCAAGCATCTTGGTCCAGCATCGTATGCTTCCGGGCACAAGGAGTACGAGACGCTTGATGCCGACACTGCGCACCAGCTTGGCACATTTGTGACAAAGTCCTTCAAGGCAGAAGCGGGCAGCTATCCACGTTTAGGTGACAGGTAGATAGGGTGATTCAACATAGTGTATAACATAGTGTAGGTGCCACAGGTGCCTCCGCTTGGTAGCTGCAACAACATGCAGGAGTCGCGGGAGCAAGCATCCTGCCTGTCATGTAGCACCAGACCCAAGAGCTACATCAAGAGCCTCAGCGGCACCATAGCTCCGCAAGCAGACTAATTTATCCGTGCTTGTGTTCGGTCGCCGATTTGTTTCGGCGGCGTGTTCTGTACGTTCTTGACAGGAGCATGACAGTGTATGAGCGGGACCCCAGCGACAACAGATACCGGATGACAGTGGATCTGGATCACGATCGAGACTCAAGTCCGCCTGCTTAATTTCAGCCGCTTGCAATTTGCATCATGTTCTCGACAGTCATGGCATAGGGTCCCGTGACTCATGACACGAAAGAATTGCTTCGAAGTGAAATTTTCTGCTGAATGCGGTGTCTCGCATCAGAGTAGTGCAGCATCTTGTAGCAGCGTAGGGGAGTTAAGCACCGCAAAGTATGCAACACGATGTGGGCTATATGTTGCACACGATTTGTCAAAGCTTCGGAAGGCTGTGAAGATTTCGGCTTGTGTTGCCGTAGGGTGCCACGTGACCCTCTCCAATGAGCCCAAGGGTACTACTGCAATCTTGGGCACCCATTCCCGAAGAGAGCACTGGTTGCCATGCTTTGCCAAGCTTGGGAAGGGTAATTCTTTGGAATTTCTGCTCACGGCCTCTGTATAATTTTCGAAGTCTGATGAAATTGGCTGATGCTCGGACTCCGACCACTCAAGAGGCAGCTGCCCATGATTGCCAAGTTTTTCCGACTGATGCTGTGCAAGTAGAGGGTTCTCGCTTTCATCTTTTCCATCTGTGCAGCAGAGACCTTAGGCTACAGCCATGTATGGTACAACAGGGAGAGCCAGTGGTGTGGTTGTGTATGGTGCTGAGAGTTCGTCGCAAGCTCAGTGCAGCAGCATTGCGCTGTGTACGATTTGTTTGTCGTGTCTTGTGCCGTCTAGCCGTCCACGATTGTGACGGAAGGCAACGCCAACGTCCTTCAAGATTGATGTTGAATGACACTCTGAAGTTGAATGACACTCTGAAGCATTCAAGGATGCATTCAAGCTCTATTGTTGTCCCTGTGCCCTATGCCATCTGCATTGCTGCTTATGTCTTCTCGCCCACTGGGGGTCGAATCTCAGGCACTTCAGAAGCCGATTCTTGTTGCAGCTCTTCATGCCGTCTAACGAGGCTTTTCTTTCCCTTGGTGTCCTCACTTCACACAGCGTGAGGCTGAATTCGCTGAGTTCCGCGAACCTGACGTTGTCAGTGCTAGGAGCTCTGCTGACAGGCTGCAGCATGCTTGGCGAAGTCAGATGTTTGCAGCTAGATGCGGTTGACTACGTAGTCTTGAGTCGAGTGCTCTTCTACACACATCGATGTATGTTCACGTTGGAAGCACGTCGTGTAGGGCTAACGACTACGCAGTCAGCTTGCTCTGCATTTGAGCGCACCGAGACGTGTTCGCACCCGTAGGGTCAGCTGAATGATGCCTGTCGCCCTGCGAAGAAACGATTGATGGACGGACGAACTTTGTTTCACGGAGGCTTCTGTGCACTTTGCAACGTGCCACAGAACAACTGCTTCCTGTGAAATGCCATCTCGAGTGCTTTCTCAAGCCTGCACAGACACTACACGATCCACCAGTTGCCCCGGCAGTAAACGGCAGTAGACGGCAGTAGACGGCAATACACGGCAGTAGCCGGCCGCAGTGGAAAGAACAGCTTCGGCAACTTCCCCTTATGGACAAAGTGGCGACCGCAGAGTCCTGCCGCCTTCAATGGGCAAAGGCTGGTGCCTGCAGGCGTTCGCTTTCTGAGTGCCACGTGGCACTGCTTTGCCAGGCTCGTGGCCACCCGGTTCCCGATGCGACGAGGCGATGCTTGTGTGTGAGACGCTCGAGACTTGGTTGTAGTTGAGGATGCTGAGCAGAGCGTCGGCAGGCACAGCCTGGCCGTGTCTCTCGCCGGACACGTCTTAGACCTGGTGGACGTGGCGCTGTGGGAGGAGAACCCCTTTCCGAAGGCATTATCTCTCCTGGGTTTTCTTGATTTGGCTTTTCCGCCAGGGCCCCGGCTCGGAGGACTTCGTTCCTCTGGAGCCTCTCGACGCGGTTTGCTTTACTCCAAGACAGTCGCCCTTTTTGGCTGTGTCTGCGCTGTAAGCACTATTGGGCAATGCACGCTGCTCTGGCAGTCCGTGTGCTTTTCTAGTGATGCCGCGTGATAAGGTGTGCTAAGCCTGTTAGGGTGCCACGTGAGATACGACGCTTGGCCGAGGTTTCTTTTCACGGGGGCGCCCAGTTGTGTTGACGAGAGCGAAATGGCATCAGCACTGACGGAGAAGTTGGAAGACCGGCTTCAGGATGGGAATGCCCATGGGGTGGGGTCTTCAGGGGTCTTCACGGGTCTTCACGCACTTCATGAGGGCTCCTTTTCAAGCGGTTCAAATCCAGAGGAGGAGCACAGGGCAGAGTTCCGATCGCAACTGAAGCAGCGCGCCGCCCTCGGGGAGTAGAGAGGTGAATGGCATTGGTCATAATCTGACGTCGAAAAGCACCAGATATTCTAGATTCTAACATTCTAGATGTCTTTAGAAAGCCAAGCTCGCCGATGTGGCGCATGTGATAGAGTGTACGGAGCATTGCTGGTGCTTCTCTTGCTTTGAATGCGCATGCCGATGTGCCGAGGCCAGGAGTCCTCCTTGCGGCGTCGCAAGACTGGTCCTGACGAAGGCGGTGACGATGCGGAGGATCCAACAGTGAACAAAGCCTTACAAAGCAGAAAAGTTTTGAGGTTCTTGAGGTTAGTCCTAGTTGAGGTTTGATTGAAGTTGAGGGCAGACGAGACTCGATGAGGTTAGTTGCGGAAGTGAGTTGATTCGATGAAGACACTTGAGGATAGCTCGCGCAAAAGCAGCTCTTTGAACTTGACAGAATAGCTCGCACCGAAGCAGCTCTTTGAACTTGACCAAATGGCTCGCGCCAGAGCAGCTCATTGAACTTGACCAAACATCGTGCAAAAGCAGCTCTTTGAACTTGACCAAATGGCTCGCGCCAGAGCAGCTCATTGAACTTGACCAAACATCTCGTGCAAAAGCAGGTCTTTGAACTTGACCAAATGGCTCGCGCCAGAGCAGCTCATTGAACTTGACCAAACATCTCGTGCAAAAGCAGCTCTTTGAACTTGACCAAATGGCTCGCGCCAGAGCAGCTCATTGAACTTGACCAAACATCTCGTGCAAAAGCAGCTCTTTGAACTTGACCAAATGGCTCGCGCCAGAGCAGCTCATTGAACTTGACCAAACATCTCGTGCAAAAGCAGCTCTTTGAACTTGACCAAATGGCTCGCGCCAGAGCAGCTCATTGAACGTGACCAAACATCTCGTGCAAAAGCAGCTCTTTGAACTTGACCAAATGGCTCGCGCCAGAGCAGCTCTTTGAACTTGACCAAACATCTCGTGCAAAAGCAGCTCTTTGAACTTGACCAAATGGCTCGCGCCAGAGCAGCTCTTTGAACTTGACCAAACATCTCGTGCAAAAGCAGCTCTTTGAACTTGACCAAATGGCTCGCGCCAGAGCAGCTCTTTGAACTTGACCAAACATCTCGTGCAAAAGCAGCTCTTTGAACTTGACCAAATGGCTCGCGCCAGAGCAGCTCTTTGAACTTGACCAAACATCTCGTGCCAAATCAGTTTTTGAACTTGACCAAATGGCTCGCGCCAGAGCAGCTCTTTGAACTTGACCAAGTAGCTCTTGCCAAAGCAGCTCTTTGAACTTGACCAAATGGCTCGCGCCAGAGCAGCTCTTTGAACTTGACCAAACATCTCGTGCAAAAGCAGCTCTTTGAACTTGACCAAAAGGCTCGCGCCAGAGCAGCTCTTTGAACTTGACCAAACATCTCGTGCAAAAGCAGCTCTTTGAACTTGACGAAATGGCTCGCGCCAAAGCAGCTCTTTGACCAAACATCTCGTGCAAAAGCAGGTCTTTGAACTTGACCAAATGGCTCGCGCCAGAGCAGCTCTTTGAACTTGACCAAAATTCTCGTGCAAAAGCAGCTCTTTGAACTTGACCAAATGGCTCGCGCCAGAGCAGCTCTTTGAACTTGACCAAATGGCTCGCGCCAGAGCAGCTCTTTGACCAAACATCTCGTGCAAAAGCAGGTCTTTGAACTTGACCAAGTAGCTCGTGCCAAAGCAGCTCTTTGAACTCGACCAAATGAACGTGCAAAAGCAGCTCTTTGAACTTGACCAAATGCTCGCGCCAGAGCAGCTCTTTGAACTTGACCAAACATCTCGTGCAAAAGCAGCTCTTTGAACTTGACCAAATGGCTCGCGCCAGAGCAGCTCTTGGAACTTGACCAAACATCTCGTGCAAAAGCAGCTCTTTGAACTTGACGAAATGGCTCGCGCCAGAGCAGCTCTTTGAACTTGACCAAACATTTCGTGCAAAAGCAGCTCTTTGAACTTGACCAAATGGCTCGCGCCAGAGCAGCTCTTTGAACTTGACCAAACATCTCGTGCAAAAGCAGCTCTTTGAACTTGACCAAATGGCTCGCGCCAGAGCAGCTCATTGAACTTGACCAAACATCTCGTGCAAAAGCAGCTCTTTGAACTTGACCAAATGGCTCGCGCCAGAGCAGCTCTTTGAACGTGACCAAACATCTCGTGCAAAAGCAGCTCTTTGAACTTGACCAAATGGCTCGCGCCAGAGCAGCTCATTGAACGTGACCAAACATCTCGTGCAAAAGCAGCTCTTTGAACTTGACCAAATGGCTCGCGCCAGAGCAGCTCTTTGAACTTGACCAAACATTTCGTGCAAAAGCAGCTCTTTGAACTTGACCAAATGGCTCGCGCCAGAGCAGCTCTTTGAACTTGACCAAACATCTCGCGCCAAAGCAGCTCTTTGAACTTGACCAAATGGCTCGCGCCAGAGCAGCTCTTTGAACTTGACCAAAAATCTCGTGCAAAAGCAGCTCTTTGAACTTGACCAAATGGTTCGCGCCAGAGCAGCTCTTTGAACTTGACCAAGTAGCTCGTGCCAAAGCAGCTTTTTGAACTTGACCAAATGGCTCGTGCCAGAGCAGCTCTTTGAACTTGACCAAATGGCTCGCGCCAGAGCAGCTCTTTGAACTTGACCAAACATCTCGTGCAAAAGCAGCTCTTTGAACTTGACCAAATGGCTCGCGCCAGAGCAGCTCTTTGAACTTGACCAAACATCTCGTGCAAAAGCAGCTCTTTGAACTTGACGAAATGGCTCGCGCCAACACAGCTCTTTGAACTTGACCAAACAGCTCGTGCCAAAGCAGCTCTTTGAACTTGACGAAATGGCTCACGCCAGAGCAGCTTTTTGAACTTGACCAAACATTTCGTGCAAAAGCAGCTCTTTGAACTTGACCAAATGGCTCGCGCCAGAGCAGCTCTTTGAACTTGACCAAAAGTCTCGTGCAAAAGCAGCTCTTTGAACTTGACGAAATGGCTCGCGCCAGAGCAGCTCTTTGAACTTGACCAAACATCTCGTGCCAAATCAGTTTTTGAACTTGACCAAATGGCTCGTGCCAGAGCAGCTCTTTGAACTTGACCAAATAGTTCGTGCCAAAGCAGCTCTTTGAACGTGACCGGTCTGTTGAGGGTAGTTTAGTTGAGGGTTGATTGAAGTTCAGGGCAGACGACGAGACTCGTTGAGGTCAGTTGAGGAAGCGAGTTGCGTTACTAAGCAAAGTGTGCAAGTGTTGACAGTTGCACGAAGTCGCAGGAAAAATGGCGAAGCTATTTGCGAAGACCGGTGCCAGAAGTGAAGCTCAAAGTGCAGAGCGTATCTTGCAAGCAGACACTAAAGGCTGCGCACAAGGCTGGTGCAAGGCCACATGAGGGTGCAAGAAGTTTTTTTGCCAAGGTGTTTGATGCTGGCACCCGTGTCCGAAAAGTGCTGGGGTGCCGTGTGCTGGTGTCCCCAGAGGCGGGCCTGGATGCGGAGAGGAGCTGTGCATGAAGTTGAGGAAAGGACGCCATGGCACGCTCTGTCCTCTCTTCTTTCTTTCTTTCTTTGCACCGCTCTCTGTCTCTGTCTCTCTCTCTCTCTCTGCCTGTTCAAGTCATTTTTCGAGCAGTCGACAGAGGCAGCTTGTGATCTTGGGAAAATCTGCTTCCGCCACATCTTCGAGACCGAGGAAGAGGACCGTGATGACTAGATCGACTTGCGATGTGGGAAACATGTGAATGCTTTGCGACTTTGCTGAGGGTCACGTCCTGTGGACCTGCCGGTGTTGTTAAGTGTAGCAACTCTTCAAAGTCTTGCTTCGAGGAGCAGTTGGCAATATGTAGGATGTATGTGCGGTGTCCGGTGGTTGCTCGGCATGTGCAGGAGAAGGAGAGGTTACGGCAACTCCCGTGGCACCAGGACGCCGTTTCAGCAAGCGCTTTGGCCTTCTGGCATGTTCTTGGTAGTCCGCTTGAGGATCCTTTTCTGGTGTGCTTCTACAGCTGCTCTTGCGTCATGGCCTCGACCCGCACCGTTCAACAAATTCTTCAGTTGAGTGGTGACATGCTGCAAGGTGCTTGCAGTGGTGATGCTGCTTTGGCTCGCAATGTTGCTTCCGGCGATTGTTCGCCAGCTTGAATGATGCTCAGCAGCGATGTCGCGGTCTCTACTTGTTCTTACTTGGATATCAGTATCAACCGTTGCGAAGCTTAAAATGACAGAGCCTTATAGGCTATTTGAGCTTGCAGTAGAATCTCAGTAGAATGTATTGGCACAAATTGCTTCGATGAGCGGGCCGATTCGACATGGCGTTTTCTGGACACACCGGAAAGCTCAGCAAGCACAGAAGCCGCATCAATGTGGCCAAGAGCCCAGAAAGTCCGCCCAAGTTTTCCTTTCGTTATTCGGCGTGCGCGCCACAAAGTCGTGGGAGTCGGTGCAGTCGGCTTTGGTTCAATATGGGCCAAGATCGGAAGCCGATTGTGCTTAGTTGTTCTGGAACGTTCTGGACTCCTTCACTGGCCACACTCCGAGAAAAGGTCCTCTGTGTGCGTCGCCCTACGTCTTTCTGCGTTTTTCCCGATGGGACCCATCTTGCCATTCCTCCTCTCCGGTGGCCTTTGATGTGCAAATCCTAGCAAGGAAAACAGCACCCGTGACTATGCAGAGTGGTTGCATCAGGCCTTAAATGCAAACCATCTTGGGGCACCTGCTATCAAATTCCAGTACTTGCCTTACCGGGTCAGAATTCGTCTTGCAGCCATGTGGAGCAAGCTTCTCGTCATCGGGGCCACTCGGCAGTTGCTGGCAGAATTGCGCTTGTGGTGTAGGCAGTTTGCAGCTTCAAGCTGGGAGTGGATACGCAGGCTCTTTGCAAGGCTGTGCATGGAGGAGAGTGCCAGAGGCGAGTACTTGGCATCCGAGCAGAGGGGGCAAATTCCCCACGCATGCGTAAGCCTTGTGAAAATGTTGCACCAAGTGCATTGAAGTGTCTGGAGTTCAAAGGGTGATGCCAGGGGCCAGGGACAAGAGCAGTGCAACTCGGGCAACGCTGGCCCGACATTGCTGCAGCGCCTGGGTTGCGTTGCTGAAGTGCAGCTTGCCATGTGATTTGCACCATTTCTTGCTGTTCTGGGAGGTATGGGTCTCGCGTCCGCCAGCCAGAGGTTGTGTCGCTCAGATCTCAGCACCATAGCACACCGTACGCCTTCGACGTTGGCGTCCTTCTAGACTATCAGAGGATGTTCCCAGAGATGATCCGAAATGCACACCTCAGGACGGACACTGTGGTGCCAGCTTGCGCGCCCTTCGAGGACTTGCCACCGGTCTTGCGAATGTCTGACACCAAGAGAACGGCTGCGGTTGCCTTAAGGCGCCTCTACGCAGGAGTGGCCCCACGTCGACAACGGTGTAACCTGCGGGGCCGGCAGCTGTCGTGCCCTAGTGGAGACCGGACCATATGGAGGCAAGGCTGCAGTTTCATGTTGTTGCCATCACAAGATGACGTGTTGATCCGATCACGAGGTGTTTGTGACGTGTACTGCGCAAGCTTTGGCCACAAATGCGTGGCGGCGGCAGAGGAAAAGGCAGAAACCTGCGAAGTTCTGGACCCCAATGTGCACTGCTTTGCTGACGGGGCGCGGGAGAGAGGCCTAGCCCGAGCGATGTAAGAGGTGATGTAGGTGATGGAAGATGTGTTTTGCAGGAAGTGCCTGTGTGGGAGTCTCTTCTTGAAGTCTCTCAAATGTAAAGTGGAGAGGAGCAGAAGAGGTGCGACGAAGAAATCGCTGGAACCAGTGACATGCTCTGCACCTGCAAGCGGAGCGAGGAGGCCGACGCCTCGCAGAATTTGCTTGCTTTGCCTTGCCTTGCGCTGGTTTAACGGTAGAGGGTATGAAAGTAGTGTATAGTAGCATATTATGGTAGTGTGTCTTATAGTAGTGTATTATAGTAGTGTGTATTATAGTAGTGTATGATAGTAGGGTATGATAGCAGTGTAGTATAGTAGTGTATTATAGTAGTGTATTAGTAGTGTAGCAATTTAGCATTTGTTCGTTGACTCTCTGTGTTTTTGTTGCGAGTAGTGCAGGACACTTGGTGTTCGAAGTGAGTACTCTTGCGAGTCTTCTTGTGCTTCGATGCGTTGTCTTGTGTTTAGCCTTGTGCCGTTTTGGCGAAAGTGTCCGAAACATGTTCTTCATGGTGAACTCCTCGATCTACAGCACCGGCCTCTCTTTCATGCTTGTTCCCTCGTCTGGCGTCGCCTTGTTGCTTCCGATCGAAAGTCTTTGCATTCAGCTTGCGGGTACAGCATTCTGCTGTACTAGGTGGTACGGTTCTCGGCTTCTCTCCACCCGAACCGGTTCAGGTATGAGTTTGAGGATGGAGGCACTTATTGTTGCAGCCGGCCGGCGTACGATCCAGACCCCGACCCGATCCGACCCGTGAACGCTACCCACGGCGCCGACCCTAAAAGCCTTCGAGGACGATGAGGTCTGGCAAAGTCGCGTGCCACCGGCGGTGATGCGTCCCGATGCGCCGGCCACACCGACATTTGCGACTTCGACAACTCCGAGTCCCACCTGTCAGCCGGATCCACGCCTTATGGTTGTTAACGCCCGACCGCAATGACCCGACCGGGGCGCAGTGTCATTGGCACGAGGGTAAATCGACCATGCGCGGAGTCTCACGAAAGCAGACTTTAAGCCACCGACGCGGAAGCACTTGGGGAAAGGTTGGCATGTGCCTGCAGGGTTGTTGTCGTGTTCCACGTCTGCATTCGGACGACCGGGAACCGGTGAGTCCTCTTCTCCCGAACAAGATGCCGGTTGCTCCCCTTGACCAAACGGATGTTACATCCGAGACGAACGACATCAGACGTGATGCCGCCGATGCGCAAGTTGGAAAAGCGGTTTGCGCGTGCTTGCATTGCACCTTATTTAAGTTCGAGCGGCTGTTGTCGCATGTGTGCAAAGACCAGTCGCACTGCATGAGGTGTGCTGGGATGGAGTCGGAGGATTGGTGGATGACGAAGGAAATGAAGTTGGCCAGTTGGAAGCCGCAACTCTGGAAGAATGCGAGAGTGCGTGGCCCAGTTTGACTTTTTTGACAGCAGTGCTCAGTCTTTGTGTGAGCGTGCTGAGCTGCAATCGTGCCAACAAGTGCCCCGAAGGCAGCTGCAATGCAGACGATGCATGCAAAAGCATCACGTTTTGCCAGAAATGGGGGACTTGCTTTCTCAAGGTGGGCAAGGGCCTGAGGGGCAGACGCTTTCTGTGTTGTCAGGAGGTCAGGCTTGGTCCAGGATCTGTGAAATTCCCGAGATCCGCTTGTGTCCCAGCACGATGTCAAGTCCATTGCATGGGCGTGGTGGCACGGTAGTGGCTACTTGTTGCTCTCCCGGTACAGGACCGAAGCCTTTCTGGAATGGAAGACGCGAGCAGAAACGATGCCTGCAACACCTACTTCAAGAAGCCGTGCGGAAGTACGCCAGTTTCTCGCCCACCATGGTCAGGCTGCAGCACATGCTGGGATTCTGAGTTGAGTATGTTGAGTCATATGCCGGCATGTTCTTGCTTGCTGGGCATCGCAAGCAGGTGGGGGTGGCGGGGGCCAGCCGTTGCGTGTGATGGTGGTGTCATACAACCTGTACTGGTGGAATGCCTTCGGTCAGAATCCTTGGTCGCTTGGCTCCTTACAATTTACAAGAAGTGAGAAAGAAAACGTGATGCGAGACCGGAGAGATATGGAGAAATCCATATGTTCGAAGAAAAACGCCCAGGAAGAGCGACCACATCATTGACAACATCAAAAATAACCTGAAGCCAGATTCAATTGGGTTGCAGGCAGGTGAGTGGTTGAGCTGTCAGCTCCGAATTCAGATTCGGTTTCAGCTGTCAGCGGTTTGGAAGATGTTGAGTTTTGGAATGCAAATGCCAGGAGTGCGATGAGCCCGGCACGATCCGAGACCGGACAGGCCTCGAGCGAGCCTCGCAATTCGATGGTGCCCAGGGGATCATGGTGAAGCCAGGCACCTGAGGGCCTCTGAACGGCATAGGGCATCGTTTCTTGCTCGACACGTCATATGGCGCGTAGACGAGCGTATAGACTGGCTTGGAGAGGCCTCTTTGCGAAAGGCAGCTCTGGCTCAAGGGACATCCAGGCCAGGGCGCAGTTGTGTGTGAGCTTCTCTCCGCAGCCTTGGGCACGGGAGTTTCAGGCCACCGGCAAATGGGGCCCGCGCTACGTGACATGGGTGGAGTTGACAGATCCACAGAGTGGCCGGACTTTCTGGCATTTCAACACTCACTGGTCCTCTTGCTGCACAATGTGATGTTGTCATATGCTGTCGTATGCTGTCGTCGTGGCAGTGCGTCACTTGCAAGTCGCGAAGAACCTAGGTGTGTGCATAATGGCAATGGTAGGGTGTGCGACGAAAATGTTCGATACCGTGGCGCACAAAACATGCTCAACGTCGCGCCCTTAACTTGTTTGATCGTGCCGTAGGAGAGCACAAGATTTGCAGCCACTTGCAGCCATTTGCAGCCATCTGCAGCCCTGAGGTTATCAAGGAGAAGGCGCAGTGCCGAGTGCTGCCCTGCTACAGTATTAATTAAGAGTAACACTGAGCAACATTGGCCCAGAAAACATTGAAGGCCGGTGACCTGCCGGTAGTCATCACCGGAGACTTCAATGCGGGTACCTGAGTGTTGAACACGGTTGGCAGTGCGTGGTGGGCACCAGCATCCCTGTCTCTGCAGGCCAGGCTGAATGAAAAGGGTCCGCAGCACTTCCTCGCGAATGGTTTCCAACTGGCTCCAAAGCAGCAAAAGCCGTAACAAGCCGTTCACAAACGACTCTGTGCCCAGCTCTGCTGCACATGTGCTGCAGTTTGTGCTACTAGTAGTCACACAGTCTTTATTGTCGGAAGAGCTCGAGGGCCTCTAGGGCTTGTGGGGTTGCGGTGCAAGGCTGAGAATGCTTGGGTGGATTGCATCTTCTACTCGCACCACTGGGAGCTGCGCAGACACGGTACTGGTGATGCGTCACATAGCGACCACCGCCCCATCTTTGCGGAGTTGCAGCTCAAATGAGCCAAAGCTGCAACCCCATCACCACAGTGTCAACTAGCATCAGCACCCTTCTAGGATGCAAGCGAAGACATCCGAATTTTCAGTGCTTTCGCAGTTTTTCTGTCAGGTCAAAGGCCGCCTTGTGTTTTGTATTTACGATATTTTGCGACGGGCAGATCCTTCCAGGTGCTCAGAAGCTCCCCAAGCCACCCAACTTGCTTGCAAGGGCCCAACAGGCCGAGGATCTTCCTGCAGGTTTTCAAGCATTTCAAAACCCTGAGCATGCTACGGCTTCAAGCACCCTTTCTGATCCCTCTGAACTCCTCCCCGAGGTTGAGTGTTTCATGAGCTCGACCACATGCACGAATCCTTTGTTTGGTACATCAAACAGTTTCGGTGGTTGCATGCATGTGCACTCTCCTGCGTCAGCCAAGGAAGAGAGGACCTGTTATTCCCTGCAGGCCGATGCATAGCATAGTTCCATCGTCTCAGGAGTTTTAGGAGTCAAAACAAAAAGCCACAAGATGCTTTTTTTCAGCCAAGCTGAAGCAGACATGGCGCGATTTTGCATCATGCCGGGCTTGGCAACGGTACTGATCTTTTGCAGAGCTGTCCCGTGCTGTCCGCCGAAGTCTTTGTGATCAGAGCTTGCAGCTACCAAGAAGGAGCACCCATATGTTGAAGCATTTTGGTTGAATGTTGAGACTTGAGACCTCCGAGCGGCTGGGACTCCTTTTCGGAATTCTACAGTCCAAGACTCCTCAGCAGGAACCCTCCGCATCCATCCCAGCTGTCCTAGCTGTCCTAGCGCCTAATCGCGGCGAGCGCGCCTAGTCGCGACTGCACAAAACCAGTGCGTTGCAGCATTTCGGGGCACGGCGTCCGATCGAAAACAAAGAGTGTGCGCTCCGCGTGTACGTGCCCTACCGAGGGCCAAAGCTGTGCAGGAACGGCATGGGTATTGCATAATTAGCAATCTTTTTGGTGCCCGTTGTGTCCTTCACCTCAGCCTTTCAAGGATGATATAGATCTGTTTCACGCTCAATGCGGGTAGGCTGAGCATGAGTTGCTGGTGCAGCACAAATGCCTCCAGACTGTCCGGAGCCGGACGAAAGCACTAGGCTGGTTTTCTAGGTTCTTTAGTCGACTAGTCAACATGCTTCAAAGCTGGAGTTTGAACTCCATCGTGGGAAGCTTATGTGAACCCTTTGCGTTGATCAGTCGTTGACCGGGAAGTCCAATCGCAGCCCAGGTAGCCTGGTTCGACTACCTACGCCCGTCGCTGGAGCCCGGGTGCTCAGATGCTACAGTCAATAGACGCTAATCCTCGGACTGCTGAAGATTTAGAGAATTGATCTCAGAATGCAGAGGGTGCAGATGTTTCTTTTGTTTGCGAGGTGGCGACGAAAATGCGCTCGACTGGAGGCGAGCAGTGTAAAGTCCATCCGATGCCTTATCAGCTCAGTTTGCTCTCAGTTTGTGTGACATGTCTCGACACAGCTGTGTTGGTTTTCATCATGCGGGTTCTTGGCCGTTCCGTTTCCCGCCCTTTCGCCGGAAGCGGCACAAAATTTGTAAGAGCTGGAGGCGGTTGGAGGTGTTTGAGGTGTTTGCCCGACATCGTCGACTTTGCACCAGTGGGTTGCGGACACGCTCGATGCTGATTGGACTTGAGAGCTTGGACGAAGATGGATACACATGAAGATTGGAGAACAGAGCAAGAAGGCCCATCAGCAGCTCTTGCTGCGGGCCCAACAAACAGCAGTGGCAGCAGAGGCATAGGGTCTAGGAGACATGCCGCAAGGGCGCATGGCTTCTGACGAAGCCAAAAAGGTTTTGGGACAGTCGGCGGCACTTCGGCACGAGAAGAGCATTGCAAACACGAATAAGATCTTGAACTTGTGCTACTGGAGCAGAAAGCAGCCTTAGCACGCCAGCAGAGCGAGCCACTTAGAGGTAGAGGAGAATGAGCAGAAGGAACCAGCAACTCTTGTTGTGTTTGGTTTTTCACCGCAACCAGGTTTAATGAGTCGCTACGGGCTACAAAAAAGCGAAGGCAAGGGCAGGGCTTTCGTCGAGGATCCCGACACGGAGGCTGCCGAAATCAAGTTCGGCAGTGTTTTTTGCCGATATCAGCACTCAGCAAGAGAACCCCCGAGTCTACCACGACATGTCGTCGATAAATGGCCATGTGTCGTGGAGGGTCAACAGAAAGAGTTGCTCGTTGATGTCCTGAGTGCCCAACATCATGATGGATCCACAAGTTTCATCACAAACCCTGAAAATTGGTGAGGAGGAGTTGGCAGCCTTGCAGAAGGATGCGTGAGTTGTGTGATTCCGACCGCAATTCATTGCTGGGGTGCGGTGCGAAAATCTGGATAGGAGAATGCATTGCTGGCATCAGATGCGAAGCCGGAGCCTGATTTATACTGAAGGGGGTGTTCGTGTACTAACAGTCTACTAGCGAGTCGTGGCCCAAGAAACGTAGCCTCAGGTGGTGGGAGGCCAAATGTTCTGAGCTCGAGGCATGCGAAGAACTGCAAGAACACAAACACGTCAGGGATTCTAGGCAAATGTGGGGCGAGCTTTGCTGGTCGACACTTGTGCTTGTTGACAATGTTGAACATCTCGCATCCACGAGGATTATCTTCGTTACAATTGGGACTGGTGGCGTGCGAAGGTGGGAAGACGTGAGGATTGCCAGGCGTGATCAGTTTGTGCCTGGGAGGCCATACGTCTCTCCTCTCCGTTGACAAAGTACACGGAGGAGTTATCGGAGCCGCAGTCAGAAGGCTTTGATTGGAAGTGGGAGGCCAAGCTGACAGCCAGATCGTGTCGTGTATTATCGTGTGTTGCCATGGTCAAGGTGGTACCCGACATCATGCCCTTGCTGTAGACGGCCGCTGGACATAACTGTGTCTGCGGGCACCTCTTACAAGTCGCTGGACTGCAATGTAAGTCGGGTGTTTAGGAGCAAAGCAGCAAAGACCAGGCAAGCGAAGGTGACCAACTGCAATTTTAAAGGCTTTCGGCCTGGTCTGTTTGCTCTGGCCGAGGACATGGGATAAGTGGGATACGTGGGATACGTGGGAGCACGGTCGGGGACCCTTGCTTCAGATCCATTCAACACCAAGCATCAATGCTTCCCCAAGTCCAGAGGTGAACAGCACGCGCCTCGTTGTGCTTACGTCTGCGTGGTTTGGGGTGCCAATGCCGGCTACGCCTTGGGCGCCGCGGTGCTTGGCACGAGACTCCAGGCCAGAGAGACAGCAAAATCGGTGAAAAGCAGAGAGTGGCTGCATTTGGTGCTCGTGCGATGCGATTCTCCGTTCATCCGTTCCTGTCGCTGTGTCGGTTTCGGAGCACAGGAGCTACAAGCAGAGCAAGGCGCCGGACCCGTGCAAGACTTTGCAAGACCGCAGATGTTCTCACGCGCTTCCCCACTTCTTGCCTTCGGGTAGGCGGAGCGGCCGACCTGATTCTGATGCACACAGATGCTGCTCGGAGCAAACGAGCATGTTGAGTCACGTGTCACTGTGCGTCAATCAGAGTGCTATATGCCAGGACGTGCCCCAGAACTATTTGGAAGAGCTTTCAAAGATCTGGAAGCTCCAAAGCACGGAGTACATCGACGGCGTCCCGGCGCTTTACACTACAAAGGGCACACGCTTCGATGGAGTCTTCACCAAGCTCAGTGCCGCTTGCCTGGTTCGAGGTGCCAAGACGGTAGACGCACTAAATCCCCATTAACACTGGGGGTAGGAGGCGGTCATTTCAGTTGTTGTTGTGATTCTTCTGACCTTTTGCAGCTGAGGCGTGGAAGCTTGTCGGGGCGCCAAGGAGCTTATTTAATAAGCACCATGTTCACTGTTCGGGTGTGTTGATATGATATGTGTTGATAAACTACAATAAACTAGCATGTTGATATTCGCTCGGAGTGCCTCAATGACTCACCAATCTGGTTGTGCCTTGCTCCCCTGTGAATGGCTTGCGCAGAATTGACACGAGTGGGACACGGGCCAAGGTTGAATATGACAAAGCCGGCGCCCGATTTGTTTGTCAAGCTTGAAGCTTGGAACTTGTAGAAGCTGGGGTCCCCTCATGTCCTCAGGTCATGCTCTTGGACATTGACACGCTCCCGCTGAAGCCACTTGGCGCTCTCTTTGACCTCGAGCCGCCAGCGGCACTTGCAGCTTGCCAGCATGTGCCAGCGCCAACTTGCGAGAACTGGAGAGAGGAGAGAGAGAGAGAGAGAGAGAGAGAGCGAGAGAGAGAGAGAGGGAGAGAGAGGGAGAGAGAGGGAGTTGCTGTGCCAGCCGTTGAAGAGCACCAGAGAGGCTGATTGTTGCTGGGGGGTCCTTCTCTGCAGGTCCGGGGGAGCTGTAACTTAGAGCACGGAGCATTGGTGGACGGCCGCTACTCGCCTTGCTTGATGCACGCAGCGCGTATTGCACACGGCCGACACATGGTGGCCGTTCGTCCACGGATGCGTTGAGGCTCCTTCTTCAGCGAGGGTGGCTGGGAGCCGGGTGGTTGGCTTCAGTCCGGAGGAGAGCCCTTAACGCAGATGCAGCGGTTTCTATTCTCGACAGTTTTTAGTTCCTGCTACTTCCTCATACGGATCTTGCCTTCTTGCCTTCGGTTCGGAGGCATCAACGCCGGGGTGATCCTGTTGCGGCCTTCCCAAGCAACCTTCGAGCAGATGCTCAGCGAGGCGCCCCCTGAGCCCATAACGGATGAAAAGAGCGATGCAGAAAGCACAGTGAAAGCTTTGACACACAAAAGAACGCTCGGTTTTTTTGGTTTTGGGGCGTTCTCTGGGAGAGGTCACCTCGGAGCATCACCCTGCTCACATCGCCGGCAACGGCCCAGAGCAGGATTACCTCACGCGCTTCTTCGCCGCAGTGACCTCAATGATACATAGTGTAGTTGGATGCAATGTCGCATGCCGCGTTCATAAAGAGGCAGATCTCCAGCAGCCTTGGCGGCACATCGACGTTTCATACAACTTCCAGCTGCACCACATACCTTTCGCCCTGGAACAGGCTGCCGCAGTAGCTGCAATAGCCACGGAGTCAGACTCGGACCGTGTGCTGGAAGTGTGGGGTCGAGGTGGTGCGATACCGAAATCAGCTTTGCGAGTCCCAGCGTGAAGATTCAGACTGGCTTCCTCCCCGACTGACGATCAATGCGGAGGTCGCAGCGTGCAAGCTTCACTAATCTCTAAAGCTCTAAAGAATGTGTTAAAGAATGTGTTGGAGTAGAGCCTTTCGACGATGACACCCGCGTAGCCGTGAAAGGACATCAAGCTGATCCACTTCAGCGGCGAGTTGAAGTACTGGCACATGCTGTGACGTGGTTGAATTGCAGAATGGAGTTGAGAAGTCATGCCAAAGAAGCAGAATTAACTGATGGAGAGGCATGAGCAACCACTTTGTCACATCGAGATCCAAGGCTCTGCGATGAGACAGAGGTTGAGTTTAGTGTGGAGAGGCCACGTTGTTCTCGCACGCCGCAGACACGCATCCTCGATAGGCTTCCCCATGCTTCCCCCCCTTCTCTTGCATATCGCGGCCGCAGGTTTGCGGAGAAGATGTTGGCAGAGTTCGCATCTTATGGAGCCTGGGTCACTGGAGAAGAGGACTGTGAAGAGTATGGAGCCTGTCGCTGTGACGGCCGCATCGTTCTCCTGAGCGACCCGAAGAAAGACATAACGGACTTGGTGGCTCGAGACTTGGCGCCAGAGTACATTTGGGGGGGGGGCTTTTCTCTCGAGCATTTTGGACGAACGAGACACGACTCGGGCACTTCGAGATGCCACAGCATGTCAGGAGCTTTTCAGCACGTGCGGGACATTTGCGTTACGTCATGTGCGGCGTGGCACAGCTGTGCCCTTCGGCTTCTGGAGCGGCAGCCAGGCCCAAGGGCCTTGGGAAACGCACAGCGGAGAGACACGGAAATTTTTGTGTTATCTTCTTGTTGCTCTATGCCTCTGTGCCTGACCTGTGTGGTGCGTGTGTTCAATTCAAAGATGCCTAGAGCCAAGAGGATGAGGTCCGACGCCTTCCGACCACTCCGAACGTTCTCCTCGTCACCGAACGTTCCATCAGCAGCCAACGCATGCTCTCAACCGTATCGATCATCACCTCACGTCAGCAACGGGGACAGCTGCGATGCAATCCAAGGGCGGCTCGAGCTGCTGCACAATCAAATGATGACAGGCATACTTACACCCCAATCTGTGAATGGCCTCCACCATATTTCAGGTTTTGTGACGCTTCAAATCTTTTATTTGAGCACATGCTGACGATCGCACGCGCAAATCAAGTTCCGCAGCCAGTGCATGAGTCCTGGCGACCTCTCATGCTTGCCAGAGTGCATTGTCGGTCTCCTGCGGTCTGGCACGAGCCTTGGCGGCTTGTTCTGCGTCTATGACCGCATCAAGCCATGGCTTCCTCGTCATCGGCTTCTTTCGGTATAGGTCCACAGCTCCCGTACGTATCTACGTATCTTGTTTCGAAAGCTCGGATAGTTGTGCCGAAGCCTTTCCAGTCTCCTTGCGCGGGTTCTTTCAGAACCTCGCCTGCCTTGGGTTTCGCTGGCCGCGTTGGCCTTTCACGAACAGGAGGACATTGCGCGGGCCGAAAAACCTAGCCGAGAAAAAGCTCGGGCAGCTTCCTCCCTGCAAAGCAATGTGAGACCGCTTGTCATCGGGGCTGCAAGAAGAGCATGCTGGGCACCGGAACACCCCCTTGGAGACACATTGATGACACGGTGATGTTACAAGTACATTGATGCTCGGGCATCATGACTGTCATGCCTCTGTCACAGGCCTCCTCCGAAAGCTGGAGCATCCAAGCGTGCCGCCGGGTTCTGCGCTGCCTGGAGCCGAAGTGGAGGTGCTGTGGCCACGGGAAGGCCGGTTTTGATGCGCAACAGAGCCTCTGAGCATCCTCCACATGCATCTCGGACATGAGACGTTTGTGTGTGTGCGGCTGGGTGAGGCGAGGCCTGGCGCAAGAGGTGGCATCCAGCTCGAGTGCTTGGTGTGCATTCCGATGGAAGCTACACGGTCCGGCGCTCGGTGCAATCTGCAGCGCCTCGAGCAAAGGACCGTTCGAGCAAAGTCGCAACAGGTGCACTACTACACGGAGGATAAGGGCTGGTCCTCGTGTATGGAGCGAAATGTTGATGCCGCGCGTGTGAAATGGGAGCCTGGGGGCTCCATGAATTGAGCACTTTTGATTTCTAGAAAGCGTAAAAAAAGACTACTGTTTTCGGATAAGAGCATGCGCATGGCGCGCACCGCTTTATTTGCTCGTGGCCTGCAGTCGCTAGCAGCGACCGCAGCACATGGCACAAAGTGTTTAATTGAGCGGGATCGGAGCAGCTCAACGATATCTCAGCTGCGCTGATTTGGGAAAAGATGGAGTTGTGCTTGTCCAAAGCTGCGAAAGCTGTGCAAGCTGGACAGATGCGTTAAGAAAACTTGGTCGAAGAGATCGTTCAAGAGAGCAGGGATCCGTGGCACATCGTGGCGCATCGTGGAGCATCGTGGCACATTTGGTCAGCCCGACAAGACGTGCGCCTTTGAAGGCGAGCTTGCGTTGAACAGTTTGGTGGAAATAGGAATCATGAATTCACGAGAACTCCCTTGACTGGCCCAAACCTGAACCCTACTCAACCCCCAGGATGGTTTCGGTCCACTTGCGTGGCTTTGCTCTCACAGGAGCACAAATGTAAGAGCTGACGTTGAAGACCCCCCGAAACTCCGAAAGCTGAAAGCCTCATTTCTGAAAATGTTTTCCGCGCCCCAACAATGATGGGTGTCAGCAAGCTGGAGACTGGATGTTCTCCAAGGTATCTCCGTTTCCACACACCCTGAATAGAGCCATGGCAGAGCTGTGCATGGCGGATGACTGCCTCGCGGGCCTTTTAAAGCCCGTCGATACATGGGAAGCCAACAATGTGCCGAACAGATGGTTTGTCGAAGCCTCAGCAGTGACTTTGTGACCTTTCATTCGCAACAAGAAGCCAAGTTGGACGTGTGGTTGGCATACGACTTGCCCGACATGGTCTCTTCGGTCCGTGATTGAATCCCAGAGTTGGCACATGATGTCGACGTATCACTTCACTTATTCCATGAGCTGAGTTGAGTTGCCCCTAAACCCTAAACGCCCGAAACCCCCATGCAGTCACTGCACAACTGCAGCTCAGAGCCTTCACTTACATGTGGAGGCCAAGTGCATCTTGCAAGGCAGACAACAATATCAATCCAGTTAACTGTGTCAACACGTCAACGCACTTGAACCCTGATGTTTTATTCCAACGTCTAGTTTCCGACATTCAGTTAGGCAGTGTGTCTTTGTGTTACTGCCCGCCTCCCTCATCCACGGCTGTAGGGCTTGTTGCCATGGATTTGTGTTGTGGGCAGCAGTCCAGCGCTGCCTGGCTGCATGCATTCTTGCCCGCGTTGTAGAAATGGTATCTCTGCTAGGCTTATAGTTAAGATGTGATTTGATGCTAATAATGCGGTCACATCTCACATCTTTCAAGCCAAAACTTACGTGCAAACACAGAACCTCAATTACGCGCTGCAGCAGGCTCCCATGCAGGCGTTTGCTTCTGCGATGGAGTTCGTGCTGACGCTGGGAAGCTGTTGTCAGGCAAGATACTTGCCAATATTTCAGTCAGGTTGAAAAGCCTGCCCGGGTCACTCCTCCCAGAATCCCTTGATGAGGCCTCCGCTTCCACGTCCGATGAGGTGCCATTCCATCATGCCAGCTGCATTGTTCCGCAAATCATTCATGGTTGACGGGCTCCAGGAACTGGTGTTTGCGTGCAAAACAGTGCAGATGCCTGCGGAAGAGATGGGGTAGCTCCAGCTGCAAGGGACAAGCCGTGCTTCAGGTTCTGCAAGGGGTTGCCCACTCTTGTCAAGTGGCTGCGTGGATATGGAACGTGAAGCTGTGTCGGTCTTGTCCTTCACCTCTCTCTCTGGCGCAATCATGGGTTTCTGCAGGTGAATGATTTTCCGAGTCAAGCAAACGCATATGTAGGTCGTATACGCCGTAGATGTCCATGCAGCCCAGGCACCCAACTGGGCATGCGGAGATGATGGTGGACCGGCCTTGTGCAAACCGGGCGAGGCGCAGTGTGGGAAAGTGGAAAGCACGCTTCCCTTCGTTTCTGTGACGGCGGCTGCTTCTATTGATCTAATGCCCCTTGAAACCGGGAGGCTTGACACCGTGCAGGACGCGTTTCAATATGGGCAGGCCTGCTTCTGGCAAGGATTCCGTGATGGGGTGGCACTTGGAGAGCAGATGGTGAAAGAGTGGCGTGAAAATCTTGGGGGTGCCTAGTGAGGATGGGGCTTGCAGCGAGCTTGCCCCAAGAACCCTGGAGTCCGGAGGCGCGCTGATGGAAAATTGAAATGCAGCGTTGACGCAGGCTCATGTTTCAATCAGTGTTCAGGGCCGCGACTGGACCTATCTTCCGTACTCGCAAGCCATGGCTTTAGGCTTTTCTATGCTAGCTATCATTTGGCTCAAGCTTTCAGTGTGGAAGAGTTGCGATGGAGATTTTCACGCCCGTGGCCCAGATTTATTGTGCTCAACAAGCTTGGTTTCAATAGTCATGGTCCGGCGACTGCCAGGATGCCAAAATTTCAGCCCCTGGTGGCATCAGAGGAGGAGTGCTCCGGCTTTCCACATTTTTTGTGGATTGTTGTTCTTAATTGTTTTGTGTTGTGCCGTCTTCCCGTGTTCAGGTGCAGCCCTTGCGTTGTGGCAACAAAGCTTGTCGCCAACATCCCCCTGGCCATCCTTTATACTGTTGGAATGTTGTGCGGCGTGGCAGCCGGCCTCACGGTCGGCCTTGCGGTCGGCCTCTTTGAAGCGTTCAAGCTGCTGCGTTGGTCAGTCGTCTCCCTCATTCGGCTTTGGCTGGGTGCATCTGCAATTCTTTTGGTGGCGTGGCTGGCGGATCAGCTTTTCACTCAAAATCCCAACTAGGGGCTTTAGCATGTACGGTGTAGTATGGCATGTTACCCGCATCATCGTCTCTTGGGTTCTCCTCCGTCTCGAGGCTTCGCTATTGACGATGTGTCTTCAAGCGACATGGAGCCGACAGTGAAGTAAGTGCGGCGGTAAGCGAGGCATGCTCATGAGTTGGCATGTCGACCTTCGTTTCCCCTCACTGGGGTAGTTTACCATCCACGGCCAAGGCTGTGCCTGTAATGCTCAAGTGCTGCGAAAGTCGCCGAAAAATGTAACTCCGGGGTCCTCGGCATTGGAATTGTAATATCGTGGACATATGGGGAGAAACCTACTGTTGGAAATGCCCAAATGTTAGCCAATACGTCGCTCCAAGTCGCGGTGTCCTGAACTGAATAACATTTGAGTTCCGCGCCCGTTGATTCCAAACAAGTCTGCGCTGGCGTCGTTACCTAATTGTTAGCATCCCGCGGGCGAAATGTACCAGGTTGCTTTGCTGGCCGGCTGTTAGTGCATATTGAAAATATTTTTTGGGATTTGTGGGCTTTATTCGGCTTTGAAAATTCCAAGTTGAAAGTGAGTAGTCTGTGTGATTGAACAGGCGACCACATGTCATCATGAAATCAGCACATGAAACAACGCAGCATAGCATTGAAGCACGTGCAACCGTGCAGCCCTTGATTTTTTTCAGACCGCAAGCACAGGCTCGGCTTCAAAAACTCAGGGGGACGGCCTTGGGTGGCCAGCGATACACATGAAATCAAAGCTGCACGTGCACTCCTTGCCAGAGAAACCGGGTCATGTGATTCTGCTGCATCTGAGTGTCCGTTGAACCAAACGAATTATTTATAGATTATATCATGGGGATATATATAAGTATTATTGGGGAATGAATGTGGATTGTAGTAGTATATTTCTTATCGTCGGAAATTCTCTAATAAAACGGTGTCGTGCTGCTTGCGTTCGTGATTCCGTGCGCGGCCCCTCCCCCTGTAACCCGGTCCTTATAGGCGTCTCTGGAAATTTTAGTGGCGCAAGTATTTCTTCGCATTACTAAAGTCCCGGAGATTTTGGTAGCTTTACGAAATCTCGCGCTACTAAAATCTTCCAAATTTTGGTAGCTTTAGGGGGACATGCTCGCGGTCAAAAAACTCTGCAGGTTTTAAGCAGGGGCTTCAGTCTGCGTGAGATATGTGAGTGCGGCGCGTGTGGCGCGAGCGTGTGGTGTGTGCGGTGCGTGCCGTGTGAGTGCGCGCGCCGCATGCATGCGGCGGCGCGTGCGGTGAGTGCGGTCAGTGCGCGCGGCTGCGGTGCGTTCGCGCGGTGCGTGTGGCGCGTTCGTGCATGCGGCGCGTGCGGTGTGCGTGGTGCGTGCGAAGATTGCGCGCGCGGTGCCTGCGCTTAAGTGCGTGCGCGAATGTGCGTGCGGTGTTGCGTGCGGTGCGCGTGTGCGATGCGCACGCGGGTCTGTGCGCGCAGTGCGTGTGGGGTGTGCATGCGTGTTTGCGGTGAGCGCGCGCAGCGCGTGCGCGCGATGTGTTGCGTGCGTGCGAGGGCGCGCGGGGTTCCGTGCGGCGTGTGGTGTGTTCGTGAGATGCGTGCGTGCAGTGCGTGTGGCGTGCGCGGTGCGTACGCTGAGTGCGTGCGGTGTTGCGTGCGATGTTGCGTGCGGTGCGGTGCGCGCGTGCGGTGCGTGCGTGCGTGCGTGCGCGCGGCCTGCCAGAAAGGCACGGCGTCCCAACCGCTGCGAATCTTCAAGCCTTGCTGAACAGCGCAATGTTGCCATTGACCTTGTGCTGAGCGTGCGCTGTCAAGGTTTGACATGCTTTTACACAAAGCCTCTCTTGAAGAACATGTGGTCGAAGAGATCGTTCAAGAGGGATCCGTGGCACATCGTGGCGCATCGTGGAGCATCGTGGCGCACTCGTCAGCCCGACAAGACCTCAAGGCCCCAAATGGCCAGCACCCGACTGCCGATGCCGGACCAACATGATCACTGGTGTGAATTTCCTACCCAGAGTCGTGTGCCTTTGAAGCGAGCTTGTGTTGCGCAGTTTGGTGGCAATAGAGATGCGTGCGCTGGAAAAATCTGAATGCTGTGCTCCGCAGATTTTGGACGGCGTGCTGTATCAGCATTCACAAAGACGGTGCGAGAGACGACGGTTGAACCCCACTCAATCCCCAGGATGGTTTCGGTCCACTTGCGTGGCTTTGCTCACAAATGCAAGAGCTGACGTTGAAGACACCCCGAAACTCCGAAAGCTGAAAGCTTTATTTCTGAAAATGTTTTCTGAATGATGGGTGTCAGCAAACACTTCGGGAGTTAGCAGCTAGGCGTGACTTCTCTAAGCACTCCCGCGGGGTGTGAGTTTGACGCCACTACGCTACGGATGTTTATGCGGTGCGCACGTGCCATGAGAGGGTCGCCGCGTCACCTAATTAACAAAAACTACCCGAACCCAAATGCACTAGAAGCCAGCGTAGCTACGCAGCCCGGCCGCAGTCGCCCTGTCAGCGAAAGCCCAGTATCCTAACGCCGCGTGCTGAAGTGGCAACAAGAACAGACGGGCTATTCTGATTCCCCTGGAACAGGGTATTTTCTTGTTCTGGGGGTCTGTCTAGAAGCACAGGCTGCGTGACTCCCAGCAGCAAAGAGTCGCAATAAGGACGGTTTTCTCCAACGAAATATATACGATCTTTTCCAACAGGGACGACAGAAAAACGTTCTTGGATGCAGAGCTGTTGCAGAGTGCACAGGGCATCCCGCTGGCGCCTCACTCCGAGCCTCGCATACGCAATCGCCGTTTTACCAGAAGTCAGGCGTTCCAATGTTATTTGCCAAAATGCAAACTGCATGGGCATGTGTCACGGTCAAGCAGAGATGTTTCGACATCGGCGGAGCATGGCACCACGCAATGATGATTCGGCTCAAGCTCTTTACATATGTTATGAGAAAGATAGCATTTAAATCCACATGACACCACGCTCCGTGTGAAGTGCTGCTTCGCCTTCACATGCCTAGACAGTTGAAGCAAGGAAACTATGTCGGATAGGCACATGTTTACAGGGGAACCTGCAACAAACGGGCTGTGCTTGCGATTTGGTTGGATACTGCCGCCCGATGTCGCTACCAGGGACTTTGGGCATAGCCGGGCCTTGTAAGCTATGCCGCCAGGCAACAAAATTGTGGTTCGCAGGCCAAGTTCGTGCCGCACAGCAGCAGTTGCCTGTTGAGTTGCCTCAAAGGAAACCCGGGCTCCAGCTCCTGGTGTTAGTGGTGGTCGCGGAGGTCTGTCGTGATGTCATATGCGTGAAGTAGCTGCGTGACGCTGATGCCGAGCGTCGTACCTGCGAGGCTCTCGATGATAGCTTTCCGACGAGGCCCGACACGCGCGACGCAGCTGCTTGGCAGAGTCAAGGCTCACCTCCAAGGCTCTCGCGAAAAAACCCACACAGACTTTATTGGATGTGGTTGCGGCGCAAATGGCGACAGTCCCAAAGTTGGCGAAGCGAACCAGTGTGCAGCTTTCATTCTTCGTCACAACTGCGGGTCGCAAACTTTCGCAAAATCATTGAATTTAGCTGACAACTGGACAGTCGCAGTGGTTTTTTGAAGCGGGCCGGCTTTTGCGTCTCCGAGGCTGGTAGCACAGGCTCACTCGGCAAGCGGCATCTCCGCTGGAGTGGGCTTAGTGCGGAGCCGCACGTGGAGCCGCACGCGGAGCTGCAGCTGATGCGTCTGAGCCACTTGCTGCACAACTATCGAACTCTAGAGCAAGAGTGAAGATTTGCCGGGCTCACCAAGGACAGCGCTGCGTCGCAATGGTTGCCACTTTGGCGGTGATATCGTTGCTGCTCGGCGCGAGTGCCATGAGCGCGAGCTCTGGGACAAAGTTGAGCACTGGAGGCAGGTCCTGCCTTGGCATTCAGAGGGCATCGCTTTGACACGTCGAGTTTTGCACAGCGCCAGCGCCCCTGCGTTCGAGCTGTCACCGTATCTTCGTGCCTGCTAGAGCATTGTGGTGCAACTGGGGTGTGTATTTTATGGATATGAACCACTGCAGCCACTGCACGGATATGAACCACTGCGGGTCCCACCAGGACTTGACTTGGGCCCTTCCGAAGGCGGAGGAGTTCTCTTCCTGTACGCGCCCTTCGGATGCAAGCAAAGCTGAGATCGGCTAAGTGGTAGGCCGTATGCGCCATGTGTTCTTGGTATGTTGCAGGCGTGTGCTCAGGTCACCCTTGTGTTGTGATGGTGCAAGCCCCGCAGTGCTTCCTCGCTTGGCTTTCGAGGAGGTGTGGCATGCGGTGGGAGGTTGCCAACACGTTTTCGAAGCAGTAAAGAGAGAGATAGCTGGGCAGGGGTTCCGCTTCGGGGAGGCTGGCTTCACAGTTTCACCGTTTTGGAAAAGGGGCGCGGTATCCCTAGTGCAGCCCGCTGTGTTGGATGCATCGGCCCAACAGATGGTTTTCAAAGACGGGGCGGAGGGGCGGGACAGGGAAGGCAGGGGGAAGGGGGGCGGGGTTTGGTGTTCGTCACTGTTCGTCCCCTATGGTTGGCCCAATTGTCCTAATGCACCTTTTGCTCCTTTCTGGCCCCTCGCATCGTCTTTCGCGTAGCGTTCAAATTTACTCCACATTTCAGACATCTCCCTTGCTTCCTTCTCCTTGCTTCCCAATGTCACCCATTCCAAGCAAAAGTACCACTTATGGGGTCAAACTTCGTAACACGGCCAGCGGGTGGGTACACAGGTGTTTGCGCCAGTTCCCCCCCTGTTCCCGGCAGAAGAAAAGCCAGCAAACGAGAGAGAGGAGAGTCACCCCCAAGGGCGCGTGAGTCGCAGTCTGATGGGGTTCTCACGCTGTTGGTGGGATACCATGTATCGCAGTTTTTGTTGCGAACCTCCTCTCCAAGTCTGCACTTCAGGGGCGGCGCCAAGCGCGTGGCGAGAGAGAGAGAGAGAGAGAGCCCAGCACAAGCAGAAAGAAAGAAGAGCGCGCGCGAGAGAGAGAGATCAAGATTGCTTGAAGACCTGGTAGGCGCCGAGATTGTGCGTAGATTTACAAGGATTGGTGCCAATCAGGGCCCTTTGCCCATGCACCACCCATGTATTCGGCGCGGGCCCAAAAAGCAGGGTCCGATAGAGGTGCTACGTTTGTACTGCTTCGAGAAGAAGGGAAGAAGAAGAAGCTCCAATGCATCAATTTCGCACCGAGATGTTCAGACAGGGCGCCCATGTTGCGAGGGCGAGGAGAGGCCCTCTCAGTTCCTAAGCCCAGCCGCAGAAAAACAAATCAAGAAGATGCTGAAAAGCGAGCTTCGTTAAAGTAATCAGAAGCTTTCTCGAAGGAGTGGGCTGCCCTGCTAGCTTCCTACGACTCGGCCGCTGCCGCTTGGTGGCACCATCCGTTTCTCAAGGGATGAGCTTGTGCGGACCTTGCTGTCCAAGGTTGCGCACCGGATCAGGCCAGTGTGCTCCCACAAGCAAAAACTTCCCATTCCACGTCAAGCGCACAACCTTTCGGCCCTCAAGTTGTTGCTCTCTGAAAAGTTTCACAAGCTGCTCCAGTTTGACGCCGGAGCTTCTGACAACTTCCAGCTTGCAAGCCGCGCTGCTTCGATGGCCCGGGCTCGACGTGCTGTGCCCGGGGATGCATTCGGGCGCACAGCTTCGTAAGGATTCGTACCCGTTAGCTATTCTTGTACCGGACGCCAAGTCTCTCAATATTCCCCACAAGACCAGGCATGTCTCCGCGCACGGAGCAGATGGCCAGCTGCTGCTGGAGGACGGCTGCGGCACAGCAAATCCTTTGCAGGCTGGAAAAGAGGGAAAAGAGGCTTCGAAAACGTGAGAAGCCTTCCACTTTCCTGGGAGCTCGAGGGTAGAGTCGCAATGTTGCTGGGGGATGTGGTTTGACTGCAACTTGGTGTCCGGCTGGCACATGATTCGGGATGCTCATGCCAAGTGCCAAGGAGGTTTGACAAAAGATGCCAGCCATTTCCTTGATTTGATGTTGATGCGCCTGGTGTTGTTACTAGTTGTTACTAATTCCCGAAAGCATCGCCGCGACATGAAACGCGCAACGTTGTTGAACTCAAAATCAACAAGTTTGGTAGCAGCATCGAGGTGGAATCACTTGAAGACCTGCTGCGGGCAGCACCAGGCGGGCGAGTTTACTCGGGAATGTCGGATGTGGAAACTTGCTCTGCGTCAGTTAAGGCTAGCTTGCTGCCCAGGAGAGAAGCTCAAACTGCCAAAGCTTGTCGTGCTCAACTGCTGCGGCCTTCAAAATCTAGGCGCGGAAGCGTCTACGCGACTGTGAACTTGACGTGGTAGCTGCTCAGTCTCTGCGGCTGCGCAGCCGTGGCAACACATGCCTGAAAGCGTGCTTGTTCCTGAGGATTGCAGTTGGCGCGAGCTGGAATCCAGCATGTGATCTGCGCGCCACAAAAATTGAGTGATACGTCGGCCCGACTCTTCATCAGTGCCTTCTACAGCACCTTGGATGAAATTTACAGGTCATTGACATCAGCAGCTTTGACCTAGTGACCAGGTGCGCTTTTTGCTGGCCGCCCAGTGCTAGGGGCTTTCAATGCCGCTTGCCTCAGTCACCCCGAAGGGCATGGCGCAGCGAGATTGTAAGTCCCTTGGCTTGGCCGACTCACTTGACGTCTGTTTAACGCAGGCTTTCAGCTACTGCCCAGCGATTCAGACCACAGCGGCTTAGCAGTATCATGGTGCTGTACATTTGTGTCTTTTTTGGCCGGCTAGTCGATATAGATACTGTAGCCCGTGAGAGTGCCAGTCGAGGCAGCGGTATCTTCGACATGCCCAGTGCAGGGCTTCCGACGAATTTTTCAGATGTCGCTTGGTCGCAGGCAGGCCTCGCGGAGCGATGCGCTTCATGCTTCTGAAAGTGCATTCGGCCACGGATTATGCCACCTTATCATAAAGGGCATCTCAAATGTCGGTGAAGCGCGGGTTTCAAGTTGGAAAGTCTGCAAGGCACGCTAGCGGAGCTAGGCTTGAGTTCAGTCTTGCCTCAGCGGCTTTAGCAGGTAGGGTCGGACGCCGTCCTGAAAGCTGTGAGCTTCTGACTATATCATCGGATGAGGGGCGACGTCAGTATTTTTGTTTCAAGGGAACCTGTCCGTGTGATTTTTTAGGGGGCAAAAAATAGTGACCGGATCAATATGGGTTCCACCTGCAACAAATACGAACAAAAGCAGCAGTGTGCGCACTGGCACCCAAGCCACGCTCTCTACCTGCCCCTCAAGCTGGATTGACGGCCATTGTGATAAGTCACGGCTTAGGATTTTTCGACATTCGTAGGGGTTGGTGTTGCAACTTAGGTTTCCTGGCTCGTTGTGAGAGGGGTTGTGCAGCTTTTGGCTAGTTCCGACTTTGCTGCCTCAATCTTCATTTGAGAATAAGGCTGGTTTGACTCGGGGCACTTGGTCCTTTACTGTTGCTTTTGGACGTTCGAGGCTGGTGCTGCCAGTGCCAGTTCGGACGCCAGCGCCGACTGTTGCAACAAGGCATCTTCTTGGCCGTGTTGGATATGCAACGTGATCTCGTAGCGCAGTTCGCAGTTTTGGCTCTCTCCACTTGAAATGCAGGAGTCCTCATCCAGCGGCCGTGGAGAGCTCGGTGCCTGTGTTTACAATGTGTTTGCTGCTCTTCTTCCTGACTTTCGGCGTTTTCAAGACTTGCCAAGGCTTTCTCATCCATTTTTTTTTCTCATCCGCACACGGGCTGAGCGTCTCGTTTACCAATGAAGTCATAGTAAGTCACGGTGGTGTCATGGTAAGCCCCAGATGGCCTGGTAGCGTGTTGACTCACAACGTGGACTCCCGAGTGAAGCCAGAAGAGCAGAGATCAAAGCAAAGAGCAGCTCGAGGTCCTTTTGGTGTGCAGCTTGTGTACTTGTGTACACTTCTCGCGTCTGTGAGCCCTTAGCCATGGACCCCATGAACCCTCGACCTCACACGAGCTGCGGGCTTTCCTCTTTGACCTGAGGCCAGCGGACTGGGACGGATTGCACTGAAAGTCGAGCAGTGTCGTGCTCTGGAATGCTTCCACACATGTTTTCCTGTGGAGGTGCTGCTTGACACTCGCACACCAGACAGCTGTTGCGGCCGCACTGGGCTGGACTTCGACATGGGTCGCATGCTTCGTTGAGATGCAACCTCTTTGCTGGCGTACTGCTGAGCTTTTGGCGTGGACAGAGGCCACGTGCAGAACTGCAGCAAGCATTGCTGCATGTGGGGGGTCGACAGCGAGATCTGCTGACAGGCTCGGTGAGACCACAGCAGCAGCAACGGTGAAGGAAGCTGTTGAGGCTATGAGATAGTGTGCTCGCACATGATGAAAGGATCAGGACCCATGTTAGCTAATTTTGCATCAAGCCTGAGCATGCAGCGACTGGTTTGACGAGCACTCTACCCGTTGGTGGTATTCTGCCAGGACTGTTATGGCTAGATTGCTGTGCTCTCGCAGCAGTCGAGCCTCACGTCGTCAAACGCACAGGAGCTGGTGGATTTGGCATAGGCACAGGTGTTGGAAGACATGGCCAGCATGACTCAATGACTCACGCAGTGCTTTCTGACTGCATGTGGCGTTATCAATCATGGTCCACCCCTGACAGGCACGTGCAACACTGGAGACTCGCAGTGAGAGCATTTCGAAGCTGACCGCGCAAGCCGCTGTTTCCCACGAGGCACTAGATGTCCAGGACCTGGCAGCTGCAGCGCGGGCATTTGCCAAAATGGTATTCCGGAAGCAGCCGTCTCTGCACGAGATCCAGGACAGCTTCGGAACAAAAGCTTGTGAATGTTGCATGAATGCGTGTGATTCTTGTCTTGGCTGTCTCTTGTTTGGGAGGCCCGAGTTGTGCGAGCCCACGTCGTGCGCGCAAAGGACATTGCCAACCTCGGCCGAAGTCGTGCCAAGGCCGAGCGCGCGGATGCCCCGTCATCGGAAGCAGCAAAGGGGCTTGGCTTAGGATGCGTTGCCGACCTCAACCAACAGGGGCCCGCCAATCTCGCGTGAGACCTCACTTCCGTGCGCCCCCGAACCGCGCTGCCGCCCATGGCCCTCGAGACGGCTGCCACGCGGCAGCTCCAGCAGCCCACGCCACAGGGCTCGGCCAACCTGGCTTGGCCTTTTGCACGCCCAAACGGAACTGGCACCTCCCACAAGCCCCTTTTGGCTTCGCTGGCGCAGGCAGCCACTCACAGCTTCGGGACACATGTTGCTCCATAGGCCACTGCCAACGTGGCCCGAAACTGCGGCACCTGCCGCGCGCTGTGCACGCCCTCGCTGGAGGCTGTTGCAGGAAAATCGGGCCGAATTCGCGGATTTCAGGCCCAGCACTTGGCCAACGCTGTCCGGGGCCTCGGGCAGCTGGCGCTTCGGAGCGTGCCGCTGACGGCCGCCGCTGTGGCAGCAGCGCAGCATGGGCTCCGGCGGCCCAAGCCGCAGGAGCTGGCAAGCGCCGCGCGGTGGTTTGGCACGGCCAAGTGCGGCGGCGAGAGCTTTTCGACGACCTCGGCGACTGCCGGGGCTCCCGGAAAGGCTTTGCTTTTGGGTTCTGGAGCTTGGGGGGGGGGTGTTGCGTGTCTCTGACGTGTCTGACGCGTCTCGTTTAAGTCTCCCATCTTCGACCGAGGCCGCACTGCGCGCGACTTCGGCACCTCAGGAAATCTCTAACCTTCTGTGGTGCCTTGGGACAGCGGAGGCCGGTTCTTTCATTAGACGCTGTTGAAAAAGACGGTTAAGACATGTTAAGACTGTTACTTGTAAGAGACGTAGAGAGGATGTTTTAAGAAATGTGTTTTGGAGACTGTTGGAGAGTCTTAAGTTTGGCTGTGGCGGCCCAACTGACTTAAGTGTTTTGCCGTTCTCGAAGTTTCCGCAAGGCTCTGCAGATGGTGGCCTCATGTGCGCTTGTCGAGACTGCTTGCTCGAGCCAGATGCCTTCTGCAGCACAGGCCATTGCAAACGTAGCACAGTCTGCGGGCGCACTGGCGGCGGAGAACGGCCTGCCAACGAGCACTGCAGCAGCCAGAGGCGTGGAAGACATCAGTGAGCTCTCTTTGCAGGGGCTGTCCAACACTGGGCAGCCACTTGACTTGATTCATTGCCTGCGGCTGCTTGCGTCTGAGTCACGAGCAAAGCAGTTGTGAATCGCGAACATGTTTGTGTGTTTGTGAATGCGGCGCTACGTGGCGCTCAGCTTGAGGACTCTTGGAACCGCTGCAACCTTTGACATGCGGCTGCTGGAAGCTGCCGGGGTTCAATTTCGCAGCGTGCAAGTACACGAGGATGGCTGGGATCCCACGGGTCGAGAGAGGCACGGCACAGTGGCATAACATGGCATAGCGTGGCATAGAGCATCCCCTAAGTTGAACAAGAAGTTTGCTCTCAGCCGTTTTTGGCCTTGGCCTTCGATAGGAACAACCAGTTGCTTGGTCTGGTGTCGGCGCTGGCTCTCTTCACTGGAGGCCCGATGGTTGTGCTGCTCTTGCTGTGCTTGGGACGGTTCGGGATTGGTTGCAGCTTTCGACGTTTCATGAACGCTGGATGAACGTTAGGCGGTTAGGCTCTGATTCCTCGCCACTGTTTGGAGGTGTCGACCTCCCGCCTTTGGTGGATGTTTCCGCTCGTGTGGAAGAGATTTTGGAAAGGCGTGCTGAGGACGGGAGAACTGCAGTCACTTTTTTTTGTTCTTTTGTTTTGGGCGAATGCTGCGCCTAGCTTCTTCTCATCGCGTGGCCTTTGCGAGTGCTTGACCGCTGGTGAAGCTGGGTGATCGCCGGAGAAACTAAGAATCTCAGTAGCGCCGGCAACAACACAGAAGGAGCGATGACTGACACCTGCCCAAAGCCAGCTTCCAATAAAATTCCCGCCTCAGCACGCCCCAAAGCTAACTTCCAATAAACTTCCACCCTCCAAGCCCCAAAGCCAACTTCCAATAAACTTCCCCCCTTAGCAAGCCCCAACGCTAACTTCCAATAAAAAATCCTGCCTCAGCAAACCGAAAAGCTAATTGCCCATAAAATTCCCCTGTTAGCAAGCCCCAAAGCTACATTCCAATCAAATTCCCGCCTCAGCAAGCCCCAAAGCTAACTTCCAATAGAAATCCCGCCTCAGCAAGCCCCAAAGCTAACTTCCAATAAAATTCCCTCCTCAGGACGCCCCAAAGCCAACTTCCAATAAGGTTCCTGCCTCAGCAAGCCCCAAAGCTAACGCCCAATAAAATTCCCCTCTTGGCAAACCCCAAAGCTAACTTCCAATAACATTCCCCTCTTAGCAAGCCCCAAAGCTAACCGCATTTGGGAATCAGAAGTTCACGAGAACTCCCTTGACTGGCCCAAACCTGAACCCTACTCAACCCCCAGGGGCTGCGTGGCTTGCTCTCACAGGAGCACAAATGCAAGAGCTGACGTTGAAGATCCCCCCAAAGTCCGAAAGCTGAAAGCCTCATTTCTGAAACTGTTTTCCGCGCCCCAACAATGGGTGCGAAAGCTGGAGACTTGATATTCTCCAATGGCAGAGCTGTGCATTGCGGATGACTGTCCCGCGGGCCTTTCGATCCATGGGAAGCCAACAATGTACCGAGCAGATGGTTTGCCGAAGCCTCAGCAGTGGCTTTGTGACCTTTCGTTCGCTAGCAAAAAGAAGCCAAATTGGACATGTGGTTGGCATACGACTTGCCCGACATGACCGATGCGGTGCACAAGAAGGTCCGCGTCAGGTGATGAGAGAAGCGTGCTTGAGTGAGGGAGCCGGAGAGTCAGGCAGAGGCGCAACGCCAAAATGTTCGAACATTCCTTCAGGATCGGGATCTTGGAGCCGCAGCTGCTTCCCTTTCACCGTGGGCTATTTAGCATGTGGTGCCCCGCTGACCGCGGCTCCCGTGGGCGGATTGAGGGTTTGAGGGTGGGATGAACCGCAGAATGAGGTTGGGGGGACGGGCTGATGAAAAATCTAAACTTTATGATTTTTTGTGTTTTGGGATTCTCTGGGTGGGTGGTTTTTGTGTCTAGACTCGAACAGCTGCTCTACCAGAGATTACTCGACCCGGAGTTGCTGCACCCTGAGCCCTGAACCCTGAACCCTAAACCTTAAATCCAACCCCAAGAACCGGACCCGCTGAGAGGTTCTGTTCCATCCCTCATGGCCTGGCGTGCCGTGGCCAGTGCCAGGTGGGGTTCTGTTTACGGCGCTTGAGGGGCTTTTCGGGCTAAGTTAGGGGCTTTTCGGGTTTTTTTGGAGTTTTGCGGGTTTGAGGCCTTTTCTTTGAGAGTATCCGGGCATGTTGCGAAGGCGCTGGTAGGGCCTGGTAGGGGCTGCCGTGCACCAAGAACCTGGGACCCTAAACATCCTCAAATCCGCAACCTCCCCAGGGAAAAAGTGCCAGCGCTTCGCTGCAGGAGGAGGAGTTCTGCAACCGTCAGCAATGACCTGTCGACTGCTGCTTCGATGCCTGGATGGAGCCTTTCATCAATTGAATTTGGGAACGGGTAGACAGTGGTGCTGGTTGGTAAGGGGCAAAGGGCTATCTACATCGGCACGGGCAGAACGGGAGATGACCCCAACGAAGTCGCTGACCCTTAAACAAGTTCTTCCCTAGA